TCGTATTTTTTACGCTGTGTTAACGAGCTGCAAAGAAGTGACAGTTAAAAAAAATTGAATAATTTTATAAATTATGTTGGGAGAAGGTGGAGCGGATGTCACCTAACATACAAAACAGTGGCGTAGGCAGGGCAGAGTTTCTTCCAGGCATCTCTTCGTGGGGGGGGGGGGGGGGAGGGGGCTTAGCCCCCCCCCCCGAAATTTTTTTACCGCCCCCCCCCCGAACGAAATGAAATGTATATAATATATATAGAAAATATATACTTTTAACAGTGTACGCCCCCCCCCCCTGAGGGCAGGGGGGTTAGGGGGGGTCAATCCCCCATAGACTCCTCGGTATATATATATATATATATATATATATATATATATATATATATATATATATATATATATATATATATATATATATATATATATAGTTTGAGGGGGGTGCGTAAATCGAAAGTTTGAGGGGGGGGGGGCAAATCGAATTTTCTGATCTGTAATTACTAAAATAATATATGGAAATATAATGTACCGGAATTATTTTAGTACATAATAGAATGGATGATCTTTAGCACAAGCTGTAACAAAACTATTTCGAATGTTGTTAGAATATATTTATTTGCTTATAATTACATCTCTGTTCTATATTATGAAAAAGGTATTACAATTTTAATCAAAATACAATTACGTAATTATATCAAGCACTATCTTAATGTACTAAAGCTTACACTCTTACAAATATTCAATATAAATATGACAACTAATGCAAATTAATATTTTTGCTGACTCTGGCAAGACAATCATATTTTCATCTAAGATTTCTGCTACTAAATGAATAGCCTACTAATTCATTGTGTTTATCAGGTAAATGCATCAGTCAAATTTGTTATTGAAGTTACACTAACTTTAAGATTTGTAGAATGATACAGGAAGTTAATTTATGTAAAGAAAGAGGGAAATAAAAAAAATCATTTATACTACTAGGCTAAATAGTACACAATTAATAAGCAAAAATGTTAATAGTATAAGTCTGATATACCTTTACTTTTTAGTTCATTTAATTAAATCTTATATAATAAGAAAGTGGTTTTGTTTCCAACATTGAACAAATACCTTTGTAATTTTTATTTAAATCTTCATGTGCATTTTAATTTTAAAAATGCATAACATTGATCACAATATGACATGTTGAATATACTGATTAAATTATAATGTAACACATATGGTTACCAGCCAAGGGGGATAAAAATATGAAGTTTTAACTCATTGAGTTGCGGCCCCTGTGTGGCTGTGGCTCTGTGGACGTAGTTGTTTTTTCATGCTTTTGTGAGCGATGTACCTGTGTCCCATGTCATGTGACATGGGACTGTGGCCGTGGGTAGTTTCATGCCTAGCCGTGTCGCACACGCAAGCCTGCTGTCTGTGGACACGGTGACCAAGATGTAGACCTAATGAAGGGCTACAGTTTGGTTTTGGCTTTGGATTTGGTTTTGGTTTTGGATTTGGTTTTATTTTTCTTCTTGGCTAGTTGGTTTTGTACTACTGTGTTGCATCGCCGTCATGGCTCGATGCTGTAAATAAAGCGAGTACTTGACAACAACTGTCGGTGTCGGTGTGTACTTAATCTCATGGGCGGGTGTACTTTTCGTCATAAATCCACTAAATCATCGATTTCCCACTTTTACTTGATCTATACAGAATAACCATCGTTGAATCTAAAAATGACATTGTTATGAGCCTGAAAACATTATTTATTTATGAAAAACCGGGTTCAAAGTAGTGTGTTCAGGGTAATTTGATCACTTTTTCGGTAAAAATAGCCATTTTTCGACCTAGAAAAGTACTATTAGATTTTGCGGAAGCCTAATGTGTTTCATATCAATGGAAAGGCCGTGACCTCCTTTCTTTATTTGTTCTAAAATTAAAGGACCAATCAAAATACCTATTTTAATGTGATTATTTTTCTACGTCATAAAGTTGTTTATTTTACTCAGTCGGGTTTTTCCGGTATGCAAATTTTTGACCTCAATTTTTTCATTGGCATTCAACGGCGGAAGCTAGTTTGCGATTGGTCGTTTCGCTTCGCAAGTAAACATTCCCTTAGTTTCAGCGCGTTGCTAAGTTTGATCTAGTTTTGTTTCTCTAAGCTTCTGTGAAATACTTACATTATTTTAACATATAATTATTTAAATTAAATATACTATTAACAGTTTAGATTAGTTTGTGTGAATTATCATAAGCAGTTTGTTTCTCTTTCGATAATGGGTAGAACAAAACACTCGCTAAAAAATACTAAAAATAGATACACACATCTAACGAATTTACTAAAGCAAGGGCACGTCCGAATGCAACATATTGCATCTAGAGTCTACCTCTACTCAATCTAGCACTATTCAGACAAGCACTGGTGCAGATGTAATATGCACATTTACTAAGAAGCTGCGGCAATGTAAGACAGTTTTTACAGACAGAAGAAAGCACTGTTACATCTAGTATGGTAGTGCTAATTGTAAACAACAGCCATGCAGAATTATTGTCGACTGTGATTTGCTTCTTGATGTTATCAATACATTTCCTTGCCCAGAGTGTAACTGTGATGTAGTGGCTACTATTGATGAAAAAAGTGTAAAGGGTTTGCTTCAAGCATGGTGTGGCAGTAAAAAAATGTTGTAAACCGTAAGTATACAACTGCAAAAGAATACAGAACAAGGCCATTCACAATAAACAAAGACATCGTCTTATCATAATTGGCTTTAGACACGAGACCATGCAAAATATACTGCTGTTTCTGCGATAGCATAATTCAGTATTGGGCCCATGCATGCTATGGCATTGCTGTCAAAAGAAGGAAACCATAGTCGAAGACTCAGTGAAGGACGCCAAAAAAGACGCCTTCGCAACAGCTTTACTACAGCTCTAGGTAAAACAAAGAAAGCCAGAAAAAAAGGAAACTAGCAGCTGAACAAGCTCAGAAGGAATATATTCAGCAACACCATACTTCAGGCAATAAATGTGGTCAATTTTAGTGACATACAGCCGTAAATTTTCTTTTTTTTTGCAACTTTTTGTTGGTTTTTTGCGTTTTTCTCAGTTTGATACTTTTGTGAACAATTATTGAAATAACTTTGTTAATAATTATCAGAACTGAACTAAATTTGTTCCAGTTACTCTGTATATATGTTCAAATAAAACGTATTGAACACTTTTGGAAATTAAAAAAAAAAAAAAATTTATTGTTGAAATAGTGAAAAAATTGGACGAAATAATGAATTTTTTACAGTGATGTATGGGAAAAAAAAGTAAAAAATAAACTATCTTCTTTTTTGAAAATGTATTCAATAGGAAGTGTTAAACACATGTATCTCCAGACTGTATTAAGTTTTTTTTAAATTTGTACAAACCATTTTTGAGTTATTTCCATTTAAAAATCGTCAATAAAATCCAATATGGCCGCCGTCACCATGGCAACGGAGGATTTAAAAAATTAAAAAAAATATTTTTATGCTTATCTCTTTGAGTTATAACTATTAGCAAAGTATTACATCTTTAGACTCGGAAATAAGGAAGTTGGTACTCATCACCCGCCCATGCCCTAACCACAACACCTCAGTTGGTAAAAGCATCCCCACTGAGTGAGGGTTACAATAATAAGCAAAATAAAGAGATAACCAGGCATATGCAAAAAATTAAAAATATATAATTAATAGAGTTTTATTTAAACATGTTGGCTTGACAATGTAGGTTTACCAATGCCCTTTCACCTCACATAGAACAAGAAATTGAATCCAAAGACAGTTCTAGAATGAAGCATTTAGTAAGGGGTCATCCATAAATGACGTCATACTCATAGGGGGGAGGGGGGTCCGTAATTTTGTGACGATGTGTGATGAGGGGGTGGGGGGGGGGGGGGTTCAAATGTTGCGACGTCACACTTTTGCAATATAAAAAAGCAATGTTAGAAAACAAATTTTAGACGTTATTTCGCGTTTTAGATAACTGTTTTAATAAATTGTAATAGTTTAAACAAGATTTTAGAAAAAATCGATGTTTTAAAAAAATTCAACTGCAATTTTGAGGGGAGTTGTAGGTTGAGGTGTGAAGTCATTTTAGGGGGAGGGGGTCTGGCTTTTTGTGACGACGTGTGACGGAATGGAGGGGGGGGGGAGGTAAAAATCGTCCAAAAAAGCGTGACGTCATTTATGGATGACCCCTAACTCCAATAAAAGGATGTAGCCAATATATATTTTCCAGAATCTTCTTCTTCGTTCTTAATTTTAGTGTTAGAAGGGATCCCCTCCAACACAATGAAGTATACATGTCAACTGGTAATGCACCATTGAGGCCATTGACTCCTATTTCAGCCCGCTTTTCTTTTTGGATTTGCTTCCATAGCCTTTGTCAAACCAAGAAAAATTTCAAGGCCGCAGTTGTTTGATTTTGGAGTTTTTGGAGTTGTCTCTCCTAGAAGAGTGGCTGTAGCCAGCTAACGAGCCTTATCTGCCTGAGGTATTGAACCACGCCAACCCCTTATTTTCTAGAATGAATTATGTAAAAATAGCACCATATAAAAGAACTATTTATAGAACTATTTATATTTTTGTGGAAAAGTTTAAATGACAATTAAATGCATAATTGAACTTGTAGTATACTAGAATGGCAAACATAAGTAACTCAAACATGAATTTAAATTCAAAATTATTTAAACACCTTGATTAAATTGATTTAATACTGCTTTAAAACCAGAGTTTCTTCCAGGCATCTCTTCGGGGGTGCTTCGCCCCACCGAACATTTTTTACCGCCCCCCCCCCCCCCCCCCGAACGAAATGAAATTTTTATAATTTATATAGAAAATATATACTTTTAACAGTGTCCGCCCCCCCCCCCCCCCCGAAGAAAGTTTACCGCCCCCCCCGAAGATTTCAAGTGCCCCCCCGGAGAAAAAAGTCTGGAAGAAACACTGTTTAAAACAAACCAAGAATAATGAAATAATTCCATTTAGGAAATGGGTCATACATTTACCTAAACGACCACAGGCAAAGTGTAGAATATAATTATGCTTGAAAGAGCTAAGCCAGGCATGAAATTAGAAAACTGACCACTGGATTGAAAGACTATGACTCGCCCATCTTATGAAAATCAGGGACTTTCATTCTGTGATTCAAAGAACAACAGGAATTGCTAAATTGCCAAGATATTTTATACATGCTGGGGTTTTATACATTCTGGTAACATATTCACATAGTGGTATTGGAAACAATCTCCATGTAAATTTTAATGTATGAATGAAAAAGGGAACATGATTTACAAACAAATATTGTTTATTATATCATACTAATGATTACTAATGTGGTTAAGCCTAGATTAGATTCAACTGTTCACTTATGGATCTTTTCATAAACCTGTGGGGGAAAAATGAAAAAAAAAACTTGTCATTGAAGTATAGCTAAAGATTAAACATTGAACATTTATTTTTAAAAAAAAAATTTCTAATTTAATCTGAACCAGTCATTGTGATCCTACTTTAAAAAATGTATGTTTCCAAATTTGTACTACTCACATGTTCCTTGTCCAAGTCATTTGTTCCAGATTCATTTAATTGATGGTATGGATTGTGACCTCTATCTTCGTCAGGATTAATTTCATTATAAGGACTGTTATCCTCTTCTAGGCTGTTGACAACTTCATGGTCTTGATTGATGGGGATTTCATTGTATGGAGTGTTGTCTATTTCTGCATTCATATCATTTACACTATTTTGATTATTCTGTATTTCATTGTATGTACTATTGGTTATATCTGAATTAATAACAATTAAACTATTTTGATTATTCTGTATTTCATTGTATGTACTGTTAGTTATTTTTGAATCTTCAGCTGGTTTATTATTAGACTTCTCTCTTAGTGGAATGTTGGGAGTAATGTCATTGTTTGAACAAGTAGCCATTTCTCTAAATGCCGCTGTCTTATTGTCTGCATCTTTCACTATTTCATAATATGTATTAATATCAGTGTTTTGGTCAGGTAAATTAGTTCCTTGTTCCTCTGATGTGGTTGGTATCATTTGATAATGTACATCAGGATCTGTATCTTGCATCTCAAGTGTATTGTAAGCATGTTTCTCCTCAGTTGTTTTGTAAAAAGTATCATCTGGTAATGGGGATGGTAGCTGTCTAAGAAAAATATTTAAGACAAAAATTAGAGCACTTCATCTTGAATGTGCTTTCATGACAGACATTATAAAGATATATTTGATCACAGCGTTATTATTACAAAGTTATAGACCTATGTTATTATTATACAATCGTTGCAGATAAACATTAAGTCCTTTTCATAATCACTACAAGTCATGTGTTCACTTAGCTCTTTGATAAATATTTTTTTTTTAAATAAATCAAAATATGCTATCTTGACTTAATTTTTACTATGAAGTTATTAAAACACATTCTTTTCAAAGACTTACGGATTAATTTCAATATATTCCTCTTTATCCTGTCTTTGTCTTCTATTTCTGCAGCGCAAGATAACAAGCACCACAATAGCTATTGTGATGATGACCAGCAGGCTAAGTCCAACAGACAATCCAATTTTTAAAGCAGTATTGTTTTCAGCATCTTAAAATATGTGTGTTTTTATTTTATATTTGAAATAATGAGTATTACTAAGACAACCATAACTATACAGTATTTTGCTACTTATAGACTATATTAGCAGTATAAGTATAGTTTCCTTTCATACTGGGGGGTCAATGAGGTACATAAATTCACCTATTTTTTTGACCTTGGCATCTGAAGAAATACCTTTACCGGATGTGAGTCAGGTACTCATCAGTGTTGGGAGGTCTCAGGGACATCTGAGAGACACTAGCCTGAGATCTGTACTTGGGACTTTTGGTTTAGCAGTAGTATATGTTACCATTAAACCACACCATCCCATTAACAATATAAGTAAATTTTAAACATTTCCCTATATATATTTTATAAATGGACTAGCAATATAATCTATTCAAATTATATATCATTTCAAATCTATAAAAAATTCAAAACAAGCACACAGTAGACAAACCAAAAAGACTGCTTATAGCTGTTAACAGAACAATGTTGTATAAAATAAATTTGCAAATTCAAACTGGATAAAGTTTTTACATTTATTTTAAAAGAATTACCTATGATTTTACAAGATGCTACAGTGTTCTCTTTGTATGATGGACTTGATGAACAGTTCTTCAAGACATAGTGCACCTCACATGAACTTGGTATCGTTTTCACTAATAAAAAAAAACTATGTATGCGCATTAGCTGTAAAACTTTATCTTAAATGATTGTAATATTTTGTATTTTTTCATGTTAAGAAGGATCAAATCATCATGAATACCTTAATTATTAACTCAAATGTTTAAAAAACTGTGTGCAATAAAATTTATTTTTACTATTCTAATGCTCACACACTAAACCTATACAAATTACTCAAAATAAGGTGGTTTTTAAAAGCTTACTTTTTTATAATGAAATGTGTTTCAATTAAGTTATATACTTGAGTTCATTGAAATGCATTAGAAAAATAAATTAGAACAAATTTTATTGACTTACATGAAGTGTTACACACAGAAACATCCAGTACTTCAATTACTTCAGAACCAATAGTCAAATTTCCTGCTTTGTTTAGTTCATAAGCAAACGTTGAAGCAGGGTCTGAGTCACTGTTACTATACAATTGATCAACCTGTAGTTCTGTATAGGCAATAACGGATCCATTTCTTTAGAAAAAAAGTAATTTTTAACAGGTGTAAGTTGTCTTAAAAATAGCATTTTAACTTATCATAATGTATTGGCATAAGTCAACATTATAAATGAAAACAATATTTTATTTTAATGAAGATATAATATTACAGTATTTACACCACAAAATCAAATTTTGTGTAATACTTACACAAGTTTATTTATAATGAAAGGCAAAATAGCTTGACCAAGTTTTTCTTTACCAAATTTAGTTAACTGAAATAAATGTTTATAGATCATTTTAGGCTGTTTTAAACCCATAAATGAATTTTTATAATTTAACATTGATTATATGCCTTTTGAAAGATTCACAAAATTGCAACAAAATTGCTACTAATTCTGATAACTATATTGTAACCCATAAATATAGCAAGAGCTTAGAGATATTTGAAGTTTTAATAGCTTAAAAGATTATTTTATTCAAACTTAAATTAAATAAACTATTTAAATAAAGCATAATGTTAAACCTTATTAACTTTTTAGTCTATAAATGTTTTGTATAAATAAAACTTACACTATCTGCAATTTTACTTGATAATGCTTTTGATTCTATCGTCGTTGAAATAAACAAGAACGGGTTTATTTTCTCTTTGGGGTACTGAAGTTGAACAGTCAAAGGGAATGAAATGTAGTTCACTGTATGGAAACATCATTGGTTGAGTCATTTGATTATATAACTTTGTAGTTTAGATGTTAATCAATGTATTTAGACATCTTGTAAGATAGTTACAAAAAGAACGCTTATAATTTTAGACAAATACTATTATTGTTTATAGAATAATTTAATTTTTAAATTATTATATGTCAGAGGCGTAGTGAGGGGGGGGGGGCAGGGGTGCGGACCGCACCGGGTGACACCGATTAGGGGGGGTGACCAAGGCAAAAATAGCAAAATATATAGAGAAAAACTTGAAGGGGGGTGCAAATTGAAAGGTATAGGGGGGGTGCAAATCAAAAACTTGAGGGGGTGTAAATCAAAAGTTTGAAGGGGGGGTACAAATAGAAAATTTGAAAGTTTGTCCCCGGGAATGGTTGCTACGCCTCTGGGGGGTGACACCATTAATTGCCGCGCTGGGTGACACCGACCTCGCTACGCCACTGTTATATGTATATAATTGTATTAGTAGTGTAAGAGCATTTCTCAAAGTAATGTAGTTCTCTTTTATCATTGATGATATCTGAATTTTAATATCAGCAAAGTGTGGACTTGAACGATCTGCACATGTATAACCACATTTACTTTCAACTTGACTTAAGTACTTATCGAGCTGTGTACACTCAGGAATGCCTACTAACTTAAGCCTTAGAATTGAACTGAGTGTGGTGTCTTTGATTGATTCCTTTATGGGATGGCATTGCCAAGAAGTAGAGCACTAGACTGCTAACCCAAAAGTCTTGAGTTCAAATCCAGGTTCAACTCAGCAGAATGTCACTGAGTTCACCCAGTTCTGATAGGTACCTAACTCTCATTAGGGAAAGTAAAGAGGTCACTGAAACAGATGAACTCTACTTTATTTGCCCCATGTGTCTTAGACATAATCAGGGAATCCTGATGTTTAAGTTCTCTAGAATTCAGCTATGCCTACCTGCTTTCTAAAAAGTACAAAAAGCAAATTATCAGCTGATATAAAAAGTCACCTGTACAAGCAAATTTGTCATTTGTTTTTGTTAAATGTCCATGTTTACAAATACATTCATATGATCCTTCTGCATTGTTACATGTTGTAGTCTTCAAGTCACACTGGTAAAATGGATCAACGCACTCATCTATATCTGTAAGTGTAAAATGTTTACAATAAATATTATAATCACAGGTTGGTTTGAATAAAACTACTTTAGTTAATCAACTAATGTTAAATTTGATAGTTAGATGAAATTAAACATTTGTCGGCTGATTTGTCATATGTCAAATGAGTGGGTTTTATTTCAATTAAAATGTGACTGAGGTGTAAATTAAACAGTGAATTAAGATGTAATTTTAGTTTGATCAAAAAAAATTTAAACTGCATAAAAGTATTAACTAAAGTGTGAAAAGAAATATTAACTTAAGCATGAGTTGATGTGTATGATAAATAAAGATGACAAAATTACTTATTTCACCTTCACAAAGTGGGCCAATTGATTTTCCATATCCTTCATCACATCTACATTCTGCTGATCCATTTATATTAAAACAATGGTCATGAGCATCTGGGCAGTAGCTAGTGTTTGAACATTCATCAATATCTGTCTCACAATGAACTCCAGTCCAGCCTGGCTTACATGTACAAGATCCATTGATATTATTGCATTTCTCAGTGTGAAGCTGAACACAATTACACTTTTCACTGCAGTCTTGACCAAATTTCATTTTACTACAAGCTAAAACAAATATTGTAAAATAATTAAAATTAATTTTTAAAACATTCATTTTCAAACTTAATTTATAAAACATTAAATCTTTGTTTTTCAGGTAGTTTTTAAATTAGTTTGTACTCAAAACAGCCATTTTTTTTTTTTTATAATTGGTTCAAATGTTAAAATATGATTTCAGCAAAATAAAAAATAAAATAAACAATAAATAAATAAAAATATAAAATACTTACGAGTGCAACCATGGTTTGATTTAAAGAAGCCTTTATCACAGACACATCTATATGATCCTAATGTGTTAACACAGATTGAATTGTTCTGGCATGGATTGATTTCATAGCTACATTCATTTATATCAGTATTACAGCCTGTGTCATTCCATCCCTTTAAACACTCACATGTTCCATTCTCAGCAAAGCAAATACCCTTTGTTACATTACATGAGCAATTTTGATTACAACTGTATCCGTTAGTTCCATAATAACATTCTGAAAACACATGGTAACAATGTAGATTTCTATAACTCGCTCTGTACACTTGAATGAATAATTAGTTTAATAATAAGTCATTATTATTACCATTTCAAGGGAGTTATTTGTGTTCAAATTGCTTAGAAATTATGTTTTTATCTTTAATAAACAAAACAAAAAAAATTTTCAGAAGCATTTTTCATTAAAATTTAATTAAATGGTTAAATATTTTAATAATTTTACTTAAATGGTGTATTAAAATACGCTCAAGAATTAGTGATTAATAAAAAAGTGTATGTGCCTTTAAAAGAAATACAAAGTTAAAAAGGATGTTCACATTACCTGTACATGTATGGTTAGTTAAGTCAATATATCCTTCTTTACACTGACATTCAAATGATCCAGGTGTGTTAATACATGAAGACAATGGCAGACAAGGAAAGGTTTCACTAGAACATTCATCTTGATCAATCTCACACCATGTCCCAGCCCAGCCTGTTTTACACTGACATCCAATTTCAGCATCACAACTTGATGTGCCTAGTATACTACAGTTACATGTAGTTGCACAGTTATCTCCCCAATGATAAGCATCACATGCTAGATGAAATTAAACATTACAAAATTATAATTTTTTTGGAAAACATCATTTGCAACTAAAATTACTTAAATTATAGACAATTATAAACTTATACTAGACTATATTATTGCTTTAAATATAATATTTTCAGAAACAAAAATGTATTCCAAATAAATAAGAGAGACAAAATAAAAATAGAACTATTAACCATAGCAGTGTAAGAAAAAATATTTACAATCTTAAATAGCAAAAGCTGGAAACATGCAGTATCTGCATTTATGATAATTGTGCTGCTATGAATAGTACATGTAAAGAGAGCAAACACAATGCAGTCATAAATTACTTCTCATTTAAATATAAGTTATTTTACCTCGACAGCTTAATTTATCATTTTGCAGTTTATAGCCTACAGGGCATGAGCAGTTGTAGGAGCCCATAGTATTGACACAGTTTCCATCACACTTGTTATTTTCTGATTTGCATTCATTTACATCTAAAAAAAAGACGTTAAATTTGAGTAGTGATTTATTTTTTATTTATACAGAATGGTTGGATATTTTCCAGGAAAATGTTGTTTATAGTTATTTTTATTCTTTAAATAATGCGTAAATTTCATTATAACAATAAAATGATTATTCTTTTTGTTGTTTTTGATACAAATATTTCAAATTATTTCAAGTTGAGGCAGAGAAATCTTTTACTAATGTTAATAAAAAAGGGTTACTAAAACCTATTAATATTTTATTATTTAATTCTTTAAAACTCCAATTGTTATAAATATAGTTAAAAAACTGTCAATTTTAAATAATGTACAAACTCACCAATGCAATCAAAGTTATTAGTGCTAAGAGTGAAGCCAGTATGACAGAAACATTGAGGTGTTCCATTTACATCTGTACAGCCTTGGCTGCAGTTAAGGTAAAAATTGAAACAAGGATCCACAGCTGAAAAAATAAAATTGTTCGGTCACAAGTTATGACATACTAAAATTAAAATGTAATTTCTCTTTTAAAAGTTTATAAAGTTAAAACATATTTTTTTATTGCTGATGCACACATTAAAATATTATCTTAATAATCTGTAAGTAAATTAATGAGTAAATATTTTTTTTTTCAAAAATATTTCTACTTTAAGTGTTTTTAAGCAATTTTTTAAAAATAAATACTATTGTTTCTGCACATGCTGATTTTTTTAAATAAGTATTTGTTTATTATATTTTAAAATTACCATCTTTTTCACATGTCTTTCTGTCATCCTTTAATCTATAACCAGGATAACAACCACAGTAGCTACTCCCTGGAACATTCAAACAGATCTGCTCACAGCCAGATTGGCCATTATTACATTCATCTATATCTGTAGAGATATTGTAGATTCTTAATTAATAGATTGATAACATTTACTTTCAATGTGATGGATACAATTTTTCAGAAGTTATTTTTTTTTAATTTAGGCTTATTACAGCTTTAAATGTTTTTGTTTATATTTTATAGTGTTTTAACTATAGCTAGATTTACAATGTGGGCTTTAAAATCAATGTTTTTTTTAATATTACCTAAGCAAGTCCCATTAGAAAGTTTTGTAAAACCACTGAAGCATTCACAAATGAAAGAGCCTGGTGCATCAATGCAGTTTTGGGAGCAATTATTTAGCAGAATACTGTTGCATTCATCAATGTCTGAAAAACAAATGATTATACAAAATTTAAATAACATCTACTGAACTATTCTAGTCAGTAGTGTTTAAAAATGAAATTAGAAATAATTAATTATCAATGAATTTGAAGTAATTAGCATATTTTTAAAAGTTAATTTAATGAAAACATTTAATGCTGATGACATTTTATATACAATAAATAAATTGTCATTCCCAATTTAATAATAAATAAAATCAAATGTTAAAACTACTAACACAATTTTTTTGTGGTAATAAGTATCTCTGTTTATCTTAAATATATGTTTGTTGTTATAGACATTAAAATTTTTATGTGGTGTTTACTGTACATTTAATTTAATTTGACTGGCCAGATAATGGTGTCAAATGGCTATCCAAATCAATGCCAAACTACTTTACATTTGTAATATCTTGTCTGGTAGCCATTTGAGTTCTGTTATCAATTATGAACCAAGTTAAACAACAATCCTATAGCCACTAAATAAAAACCTTATTTATGGCAATAATGCTGTATTTTACAGACCTGGATAGTATAATGTTCACCTATGATTTATAGTAGTACAAAATATTGTTGAAACAAACACCAAATTATTCGTCTATAAACTGCTTATCTCAATTAATGAATAATTCTTACTGATGCAAGTCCCATTGATATCTTCAAATCCTATAGGACAGTCACATGTGTAGGATCCCTTAGTATTTTTACAGTAATGATCTGATGGACAAATGTTTGGAGTTTCTACACACTCATCAACATCAATGTCACAGTTTGTTCCCTTCCAATTGTCTTTGCAGATACAGCCCTTGATACTGTCACATCGTACAGCATGGCCCTTACATTCACATTGTGCGGCACAGTTTAACCCATACATATTATCAGGACATGCTATTAGAAAAACAATTATCAACGCAAAACTTGAATGTATTTTAGGACTAGCACTGGTTTCTAATATGTAATGAGACATGTATGGGTTTAAGCTATAGAAAAATAAAATGCAGCTAGAACAGACAAAAATGGTATAGTTTTTTAAAAATAAATTTATAGTTAGGAATGTATTAAAATCCTTCAGTGAAATTTCAATTTAGATTGATATAATTATGTTTATTTATCATTAGAAACAATATTGAATAAAACGTTTTTTTAGATTTTATTAAGAGATTTTAAAGAAAGATGTTATGAAGAAACAACTTCAAACTTACAATCACACTCATGAGCATGTTCGCTGTTCATCTTGTAACCAGCGTTACAGCTACATGTAAAGCTCCCTTCACTATTACTGCACTTTTGTGAGCAAATGTTTTTCTTACATTCATCAACATCTGCACATACATATTTTGTATTAACAGATAATGAATAAAAATTTAAGTATATATATTAGTAACCTCAAAAAATTTATTTCAAAATGAATTCTTTAAGAATGTATAAAACTGCATTCAATTAAATAAATATTATTTTGTTATGTATAAAGTTCAATATAATGAATATGTTACAAAATAAAAAGCAAAACAACATCAACCTTGATTCTAATTATATTATTATTAATCTTGAATTACCTATACAATCAATGCCATTTTCTTTCAGAATAAATCCATGTTTACAAAAACAGCCTTGAGTGTCATTATTGCAGCCATATGTGCATGTTGTGTTTAATGATTTACACTGATTTATACCTTTAAATTAAAAATAAAGTGAAGATTAAAATATTTGATTATTCGTCTCTTGTTTAAAATCTTCATAAATGAATAGTATCAATGTTAAGATTTAAATTAACTTTAAAAAATAATGTTTACCTGTTTCTGTTTTAATACATGTATTTTTGGAGCTATTAAATCCAGGATAACAAGAACAATTAAAACTTCCTGGAGTGTTGGTACATAACTGATCACAGTTATCTAGTTTATCAGCACACTCATCTATGTCTAAATATCAAAGAAATTTTACAATGCACATTATACAAATATAAATATTATCAAATATTACATTTTAAAATATTGCACTTTATTGTATCTTTATAGTGAATTGTTTAAAAATTGATACCAAACATGTGTTACTCTAGATATTAGTTTATAGACAAATGTGTAGTATTGGTTCTTTATAAATTTCAACAATTTTTTTCATATTTTTAAAATTATATTTTGATTTTTGAATGCAAAAAGTACTCACCCACACAACTGTTGTTTACATTTTGGTAACCATTCTGACAGTGACACAAAAAACTTCCGTAAGTATTTTCACAGTCAGCATGAGAATCACATGGTGAAGTTTGACATTCATCAAAGTCTGTTGATACAATATATTTCATAACAGTCTTAATATAACCCTATAAATAATGTTGGCTTAGTAAAAATTATGGTTCTTTATTCATTAGTTTTACATAGCTAATAACTTGTTTTTAAAACAGTAACCATTATTTTTTATATAATTTATAATAGAAAGCAGATAAATTATAATCATACTCTTATGTCAAGAGATGTAGTTTGTTTCTGTCTTGATTAAAATGCATTCAACATTTTTACTGTGTAGCTCTTAGACCTTACCATATTTAATGCTATAGTGTTCATTTAAATTGTTTCAAATATTACCATTGATTATTCAAATGCATGCAGTAAACACACTGAGTTTACAATATACCCTATAATATTACTGTGTTCTATTAACCACAAATGCACTAATAAAAAATATGGAAACATCATACCTTCACATTTGGTTTTAGTAATGCTAAGATTAAAACCAACAGGGCAATTTTCACAGTTGTAAAATATTCCAGTATCCTGTTTTATATTGTTTGAAAGATTTGTACAACCTAATGGGCATGGCTTATCAGCACAGCCATCGATTGCTTCTTCACAATCAACTCCTATTAAAATTTATATAAAAAAAATGTTGTGAAACTGTATACAGAGAGATCTGTTTACTTTAAACTTAAATTTTGCAAACAAATTACTGCATAATATAATTCAAACTGATACATTTAATATGTTATTAATAAATGTTATGCAGAAATACTATTAAGCTTCTATTTAATATAAATCAAAGTAAAACAACTGCCAAACTATACAACTTCAATATATTTTAAAAGCTCTAGTTTTAAACTTTTAAAATGTAGGAAAACTTTAAAAAAAATTATATATTAAATTATCAACATGCCTCTATGGCTAGAGTTACAGTTGCAGGTTGCATAGGTAAAATAAGGAGATGAGGTAGGTCTGGTAACAGAAAAGTTACATGATCCTTGATTACTGCAACCAGTACAGAGAGTAAGAGACAATGGGATAACCTCAGACTGCAGGTTTTTATCATCAACAGCTGTTATTCTGTGGGAGAAAATGTATCATATTTTTGCTTACTCTATCAATTTGAGGAAAACAATTAATTGCTACATTGGGGTCGTCCATAAATGATGTCACACTCGTAGGGGGGAGGGGGGGTCCGTAATTTTGTGACGATGTGTGATGAGGGGGAGGGGAGGGGGTTCAGATGGTGTGACGTCACTTTTTTTGCATTACTAAAAAGCAATGTTAGAAGACGAGTTTTAGCCATTATTTTGAAGACTGTTTTAATAAATTGTAATAAGAATTGATCAAAATACTATATGTTGACGGAGTTCTGACAAGATTTTGGAAAAATATCGATGTTTTAAGAAAAATTCAACAGCAATTTTGAGGGGGGGGGGGGGTCATAGGCTGAGGTGTGACGTCATTTTAGTGTGGGGGGTCTGGCTTTTTGTGACAACATGTGACGGAGGTGAGGGGGAGGTAAAAATTACCAAAAAAAGCATAACGTCATTTATGGATAACCCCATTTGTAAATATATAGTCCTATATATATATATATATAATATATATATATATATATATATATATATCTATATATATATATATATATATATATGTATATATATTAATATATATTAATATATAATAATATATAATAAATATTTTATGTAAAACTGTGTTATTTTTGCAAAAATCTTTAAAGAATAGTAATACCTGACGAAACTTTAGACAAAAACAATCTATTATACATACACACTCACAATCATAACGTCATTTATGGATGTAAAACTGTGTTATTTTTGCAAAAATCTTTAAAGAATAGTAATCCCTGATGAAACTTTAGACAAATACAATCTATTATACATACACACTCACACATTTTGATAATAGTGATTCTAATTTAAATATACAAAACAGCATACAAACAAAAGATGACAAAAAGCAAAAGAAATTTTTTTAAAATTTTGACCCTAAAATGTTACGTATTTTAATTTTTCAAAGACAGTTTTCCAAAAAAACAAATTATCCATCTGATATTTAGCGAAATGCTGGAAAACACTAATGTCCAGAGCATAAATTAAAAAAATAAGCATTGTGGTAAAACTTAATATTAATTAAAGCTGTAACCAAGTTTAACCAACAAGCATGTTGCAACTTGTGAAGAGAATTTCATCAATGCCTTATCAATTTTTTGTAAAACTAAGTTAGAAAAATGTAAATAATGTCTGCACTATAAGTGTTTGATCATAGTTGTTGGGATGCGAGTTTGTCCACAATACAGCCAAGGGCATATGAAAGTCTTGATAGTAAATTAATCAACCTCCATAATAATGAGGTAGAATACATGTCATGAGAGACATTGGGTTCCTTTGTTTACCACATCGCATAAGGTGCACTTCCTGGTTCTGTTTAGTTATCAAATCTCTTGGGCCACAGGGTTCCTATTGTATGGTACTCTTTAAAACGAATGTAGGTACCATAGAGTTCATGTGGGAGCCTAGGGTGCACAGGCTCCTTTGAATGCTGGTGAGAATATGCCTAGTACAGTTTGACTGAGCAAAATCCTACCATAATGGGTCGCTGACCCTCTCAAATTTAATTTTTGTTTTCCACATAAATCTTCTTAGGAGTATTCTCATAAATTTCACATAAGTTTCACAAAATTTCATGGCAATCAGATGAAAAGTGCAGTAATGCATAAAAGACAAACAGACAGACAAATGTAAATGAAGTAGTCCTACTTACCCAATTGTTACTACAGTTAAATTTGTAACCATAAATATAAATTCGGTTGTTGCATTATGTGTTGAAGTAACTTGATTTTTTTGCTTTTCAGTGTAATTTACATTGGTTAATACTATGAAGTGTGTAACATTCCCATCAATATCATAGCCACTAACATTGACGAAAAAAGGAGTATTTATATATATTTCAAAGTTTGTTTGATTTAGCTTAATGAATGGTGCTTGATTTGCTGAAGACAAAAGAAATGAATTTAAGTAAGTAAGCATAATTTTCAGTAGTTAAAACAGTATTTACTTTCTAGAAGATAAAAGCATTAAAACAAATCATTTTTGTATGTCAAAGTCAAGTATCAAACTTAAAACAATTTAAATGATCAGCTTGCACTAAGCCACACTGCCCCCAAAGTAAACTTTAAGGAATATTTCTAGATTGATGCACATTAGCCAACTGTCATTTCTGTAGTGCTATATTGTTAACTACATCATTCTATAATTGTTAAATAAAAAGTTATAGAAAACTCTTACCCATATTGGTATTCTCCATTATGAACTGATCTGCTACTTCTAGTGAATGTTTTGCTAAACTTTCATTTTGAGTAGCAATGTAATCATAAATACAAGGTATTTGAAACATTCCATTACAAAATGTACTGGAAGAATTTGTTATTGCATAACTAAGCTCATCATAAAATAATGGGGTGAAATTTGTATAGGAAAATGTTGATGTGCTTTGCCCATAAGCATATGGAAATAAGCTTTCAGACTGAGTAATTGCCCCTGCAAAGAAAAAGTAAATAGCAATTTCAGTATAAAAATAGAAACAAAATTACAAATGTTCTATACAATTTGATTTGTTAAATTAAATAACAAAATCCAATGTATAATAATTTAATTTTTTTAAACTGATTTTCAAAAATTTCTCACAGCTCTGTACAAAATGAAGAAGTTGTCTTTCAGAGGATTTATCTGTGAGTGTAGTCCCATTAGGAAATATAAAATCATCTGTCTTGATATAATTGAAATTGCCTAAGAGCCCACGTGTCATATTCTGATATTTCTTATCTAAGCTTACAAAAGCTTCAAGAAATCCATATGCTAGGGTAATTGTGACTCCAACACCTGGAGATTAAAAAATTGCATTATTTTTAACACGTTTGATAGGATATAAATATAAGATATTAAAAACAGTATTAAACATATCTATAAAAGGTATATTAAAGTATTTACTAAATTGTCAAAACTTACTTTCAGAAAATGAAACTTTCAAGGATCCATTTTGTTGCCTGAGGACCATCCCATTTTCAACAGCAAAGAATTCTGGCTCATTTTTAAATGGTGCAGAGTAATCTCTATTATTTGCATAAATAACCATCACTGAAATAGTTAGTACTTTTTATAAATTTTGATAAGAAAATATTGTGTTCTTTTATACAAACTTAATCTTTTTTAATAGATTTTAAGAATTAGAAAAGAGGGGAAGCATTTTGATGTTAATATGAATTAATCTGGTAACTTTTTGTGTTTTTTCTTTTACTGCAAGCAAGGATTTATAGATTTAACCTATTTTTGTGTCAATAATTGCAATAAATTATTTTGTTCACATGTGAAAAGTCAAATTAAGATGAAAACTGATGCATTGTTATAAAATAATTAAAGATCATTTACGATAAAAAAACATACTTCTATCTCCGGGACTTATTTGTACTGTTAACATCATATCATCACCATTTTTAAAAGCAAAAGCACACCAAACTGCAGCTCTTGCTTTTGTTCCATTTTTGCTTAATGCACTGCAAGTCCGACCCTTTACATATAGGAAAAAAAATATTACGAGGTAATGAACTTTAAATATGATTTGTATTACAATTATATTTTCTAAAAATATCTTTATAGAATAGGTACTTAACTAGATCAAACTGTAGTTAATTAATTTATTTACCTGCATCATAAAATTTATATCAGTTTTGTCCTTTGCTATGCCATCTATCTCCAATATTTTATATTCTCCAAGGCCATTAAAAATATAAAATCGCTCATCGAAAGTAAAAATATGAGGGTCACCAAACAAAAATCCTTGGAGAAAAATTTTGAAGATTTTAAAGTAAAAAACAATTAGGGCCTATGTACAATAATGTTTTTTTAATTAAAAATACACTTTTACTGAATGATGCTCATATAAGTAAGATTTCAATTTTAGATAAATATCTAATTTAAGTCATAAAGTTATATTTAACAACTTACCCCTCACCCAACTACTTGCAATACATTGTACAGTTGGTCTTAACTCATAGTATAAATCACATAAATTTGACTGATAACAGCACCAGTTTTTTGGTTCAATATCATTTATGTGATGATCTTTAGAATTGTGTATTAGAGAATTGAAAGCATTGTAGCGTTGAAGGCTGCCTGCTTGTGGCTTTCTTGTTTCAAGACTGAAACTTCCATCCATACGATAGCAGCATTGCTAAAAGCAAAAGTTAAACTGTCAGTATCTAAGACTTTAAAAATCTTTTTTTTTTAAAATCCAACAATACTTACTGCAAGTAATTAATTAAAGTAATCCTAATATTCAGGCTAAGTACTGTTACAGATAGTAAAGAGAAAACTTGTAGTATCCTTAAGCTGTTTTAAGTGTGTCAGTCCTAAGAAATTAAAACTATACTAATTTTGACTCAGAGAAAAACTAAATTTCTGGTAATTGAAAACTCCTTTTCAAACAAATAGATCTCCAGAAGCTTATAAAGACTAGTTTATCAGTTTACTTTCTCAGTTTCAGAAGTAAACAATAACTGATGTGCTTTCACTATGATACTAAGCTATAGGACTAGTAATCATAATATTAATTGCTGGTCCAGGAGTGTGTAAAACAATGTTCTCTTTATCTCTATTTCCTCTTTCAAAACCTTTAAGACCATTTAATGCAGTTGGCATATTAGAAAGACAGTAGATTCAAATCAGTATCAATAAAAAATTGCATAGGCCTACTTAACATTTTTATTTAATAATATTAATCTTAAATTTTTTCGAATCACTAAAAATGTAATTTGATGCTATATATATATATATATATATATATATATATATATATATATATATATATATATATATATATATATATATATATATATATATTAACATAAACACATACAATAAGAATTTCTCACCCTTCCAAATTCACCATAATATGGCAGTAAATCAAAACAGTGACTTTGATTCTGGGCATGTGTGGATTGCACCCAAAGTGGGCTATTGTAGGCCACCAATTTATTACATGGACAAGCTGGCATTTCTAAATTCTTATTATTGATAGCTAGAAAATGTGAAAAAGTAACAGACAAAATAATTTTTTTTAACTTTTAAAAAGTAGTATTAGAAATAAAAGTAAATATGAAATATGAAATATTGTTTGATAATTTAGTACTCCTCTTTTAATTAATAGTTTTCAAGGTCCATTATGCTTTTCTTATACATTTTATAAAAAAAAATATATATATATATATATATATATATATATATATGTATATATATATATATATATATATATATATATATATATATATATATATATATATATATATATATATATATATATATATATATATTGCCTATGTATAGGCTAAATATAATTATATATAAACAAGAGATGCGTATAGGGAAAAATATTTACAATTAAAAACGAAAATATAGATGAACATTTAAAAAAAAAATTCATACATTTGTTGTTGCTTCACTCTACACATATTAGCACTTTTAAATAATCAACATGTGTTTATTGCAGAACTCTTATCTAACAAGAAAACATGATTTAAAAAAAAAATATCTTTAGCAGGCTTAGTTATCTGCCATATTAAGGTTGCATCTCTAGAGAATACAACTTTATTATCAAATATCAAATATCATATCTGATTCACGTGATCATATCACAAAAACTATCATTGAAATACACAACACACTATTTGCTTACAAAGCATAACCATACCATTTTAAAACATTTAAATGCAATGAGCTATAACTAATTTTCCAGAAGTAAATTTTACTTCTGCAAAAAATTAGTTATATCTCATTACAATTAAATGTTTTAAAATTGTAATAAATAATAAAATTTACCTATCAATTCAGCAACAGAGGCTGATCGATACCATGATCTACACATCATTTTATAGTTGTCTTTTTCTCCCACTTTGATAAACCATTGGCCAGGTGCTCCTGACAAATTACAGTCAAGAGAGTATGGTTATATTAATTCATAATAATGCTATCACTATCTGAATGTTTACTGTTTGCACATTTTACAAGTTTTTATATTTTTTAGTCTTTAATCTATATGACCATAATATGTAAAAAATATTTTCCAATAAGTATTATTTTGCTAATAGTAAAACAAATATAATAACACCAAAAATTATAACATTTAATAATCCTTATAAATTAGTTTTTAAATTTAAACTAAGCTAAATGGCTTAGTAGTCTTGGAAAGCCTGGGCAAAAGCTTAGAAGAGCCTGGTGCTGCCCACGTATCAGTTCCTCACTCTCTCTCTCTCTCTCTCTCTCTCTCTCTCTCTCTTTCTCTCTTTCTGTCTCTCTTTCTTCGCGCAGATTTATGGCAACAAGGGACAGGCATTACTATACAAATTGGCACCAGCTTAGTGAGCTTACTCACAGATTGTTGAAAAGAAAACTACATTTGGTAATCCAAATGGGCTGTTTGATTTGGAGTTGTAGCTCCTACATGGGTTGGTTTCCCCAGCTATCTATTCTCATCTGTCTGGTGGTTAAAAATCGAAAATCTAAGGGTTTGCAACCACTCTGACCCATTTTTAAACTTAGGATTATAATACGTAACCTGCCTGTATTTCCCAGAACTCTGTCAAACATATAATACGACGATCTGGATGTGTCGAAGTTTTGTTTTCCCCACCCAATCTCAACATTCCTTGCCGACAATGGTTTGAATTGCATAGCTCCTTGCATATATAGATAAATAGCATAGGTTGTGTAGCCATCGGTCGCAATAACGCACTGGAATGACACACGCTGAAAAAAATTGGAAATGTTTTATAAGCATTGCGAAATAATGTTTGTTTAAAATGTTGTATTAGTTTTAGTTTTAAGCAAGCATATTTAATATTGGCTAATAGTTGCATATACAAATTGATTATTTGTATATGCTATATGTTAAGTTAAATTTTTGTTTATATGTTTGGTGATACTGAGGGTTGGAAATTTAGCTCTATAGGAAGGCGAAAAACACAAAACACTGAAATAACACAAATGAAATAACTACAACGCGAAGCCAGAAAAATTAAATTACAATTAACACAAATAGTAACAAGACTATTACAAATATAAGGAATATAATTAAAAACATATCAAACATGATGATTCGGAGCCAACATGTATTTCATTTAATCGCTGAACATAGTTCTCTCCTAATCGAATTTTATCACTAAATTGAACATGATTCTAACCGTAACTGGATTCTTAAATTATAGGCATACTTATATCGTCCAAAAACACAAACCCTAAATCTATTTAATTAAACGAACTATAATTCCCAAATATTGAATTTGTATAATTTTTTATTATAATTAAAAAAAAATAATGTATCATTTTTTATTTCAAAAATATAACAAACCTATTGTTAACTACGAGGCCTAATTCTTTGTTTCTTCATTTATATAACGCTCAGCGCAAAAAAAAAGTAAAAAAAAAAATTGTTCTCCTGTCAAAATACCTCACTCAAGTGTTAATATCTAATTGGACACATATGCTGCTGAATCGGATAAAGCACAGAGCACAATGCAATATTTATGTGGTTTTTGATGTTGTGATTCATAGTAGATAGCAATTTTAGAAAATTCTACCAGAAGCGATAGAAATAGCTTTAATGGCGATATTACTTTTTTTTTTAAATAATAAATCAAAATACTAAATGTTGGAGTAGAATTCAGTGTAGGTTTATTTTATATTACAAAAACTAAAAAAAATCTACATTGGTTGTTCACCTCACCATTTCGGTCTATTCACCATGTCGATCCAGTAGAATAAAATAGAACATGTATGAATTAAAAAACAAAAGTTCATAAAACTGTACCTCGTTTCTATGATTTCCTGCAACGGGCACTTTAACCCATGTGACTACAATAACGACGGTGGAAGTGTAGGTTGAAGAGCTAGCATATCTAACAATGTCGCTGTTCGCCCTTTCACATGCTTTAGAGGATTTTTCTAGCCAGCACTTGTAAACCTAAAGATTTTTTTAAAGACATCATCAGCATAATGTTAAATATATTATTTTAACATATTTGAAGAAAAAATTAAATTATACGCGGACATTACCTTACATAAAAATAGTTTATTATTTTTAAACGTGTATATTAATGAAATACTTTAATCTATCATATTTAAACAAATCTAATTTACGATACGTATTCGTAAATATTTCTAAAACTAAATATTCTAATTACTAGGGCCTATATGAATTTCTTTAAAATCTCTTTTGACTCCGCGAGACCCATGGTTTTATTTTGCTTTATTCGAACTTGTTTAATGAGAAAAAAATTGCACACACATCTTTGATGCTTTTTCGTAATTTTGGATTTAAAAAAAATGCAAGTAAAGTGCGGAGTGCTATTTCATAATTATTTAATGTTGTATTTTAAAAAAAAAACGATGACCATCTTACTTTTTAATTTAAAATAATGTATGAAAACTGAAAGAAAACATACATGATAATAAACCTGTCCCTCATCACCATCTGTGAGCTCAAGGTCTGTCCAGTACGGAGCCAACAGAGGTCGAGGATTTCCTTTTTTATCTAACACAGGCAGTCGTTGGGGCGTGAAGCTGGAGAACTCATCTCCAAAACTTATCAATCCATTCACGGATATCTGTTAGTTACGTAGTGTTTTTAAATATTTGCTGAAGCATTAATATAATTTACCAAAGCAATAATAGCCTATAATAAAGATAATCCTAACTATACATTTTAAATTAAATCATTTTGTAAACTTACCCACAGGTATTGAAACAGTGTGTTTTCATATGGTATAAAATCTTCTACATAAATTTTTGCTGAGGCGAATTCCCTATTCCTTGGTAATGTTTCATCCATTGACAGAACTCCATATGGATATGCTCCTAGAATATATTAATAAAACGTGTCAAGATAAACTTTTTCTGACAATAAAACTTTTTATAGACATTCACATTTATATATGCGTCCATTGTTTGTATGCACATTTATGACATTTTACAAATCTTTTATATTAAAAAATATATTACTATATGACTCACCATGTGTTGAGAAACAAATAGAGACAATAAAAAATATATATTGGGTAAAATGTGCTCTTATTTTTAATTTGTGTAATGTTTCTCAAAAATATTTTTTTGGCTCTTCGTTATAAAATACCTTCAAAGGCTACAATTATAAATGTCCTTTGCTTGTACGACCTTCGAGCAACGAATTAATTTGATAATAACTATTTATCCTGGTTAGCACTATTCTTGGCTTATTAAAGTGTTTATACGGCTAAAAAAGAGTTTTAATTTTTAATTCTGTAATTAATTTAGATAACTTTGAAATCACGATGTGCTAAAGAAAAATAGTACTTCATTTCAGATATCAATATTAAAATAATGGATGGAAATTAATTCCCAAAATAAACAAGTTAATGTTTATTTTTAATTGTGAACATATATGGCATTGATTGTCAATTGTGTTGGTTTATTATCTGAGTCTAACGTGTTCAAATTTTCTTCATTCGCAAATGTTATTATTTATCCTAGTTGAGTATTAGACTTTTGCATTAGTTAAATAGTTATGAATGGAAAACTGAAATGCTACTTAAAAATAAACCGGGAGTGATCTCCCCTAAACTTTCTTGGATATTCTTATATAACTTGGAATGTAGACATGATTTTTAATTACTTAAACTTTTAAAAATAGAATAGAATCTCATAGAAAAAAGAATTGCGCACCAAGCGAACGCCAAAACAAATGTGCATAATAGTGCGCAATATTATTAGTACTTTATAAATTTACATGCGTTTTTTGAAAAATCGGAAATAGCGTAAATTAGTACTTCCGGTCAACGGAAATTACTCAAAATTTGACAGAAGGTAGAGAATTAAATCTTTTACTTACATGTGAAATTTCATTTTCTATCCGAAATAGTACTTAAGTTATAGGCTTTTAAAAAATTCAAAGTAGGAAAAGTACCACTTCCGGTTATCGGAAATTGCTCAAAAGTTAATACGGATCTACGATTTTAATAAAATAATTATATATGAAATTTCATCAACCTAGCTGTAACGGTACTCAAATAATCGTATTTACACACTGACAGACGCACACACACACACACACAGACATACGGACAAGATTGCAAAATTATGTTTTTCCGTATCAGTGAGGTGTAAAACGTCGAGTTTTGAAAAAAATCTCGATTTTTTTTGGACGATTACAATACTTTCTCTGTACTTCGTATATACGAGAAAGTAAAAAAGTTCACAAATCCAGAAAATACTGATTGTGAAGAAAACAATGATTAGAGTGGAACGCTCATCAACGTAGGCAGCAAACATACCTGTGTTAGTGTAGGTATCCGAGTTTTAATTTTCTTAAATATTCTAAATTTAATAATTTATAAACAGACAATTTCTTGAACATCAAATAATGACATTTTATTTATTTTAATTCTAAAACAAATGCTAGAAAATTGTGGGCATCAGTTTATCATTAATAAAACAAGGTTAATTATAAATATTTTATTTGAACATACGTGGTTCCGATGGCCTGCAGAGAAAAGAAATTTGGAAAAAAATTATTAAAATAGACGTCTATAAACGTAAATGTATTTCGTTAAAACTCAATTGCGACAACCATATATATTTTTTTCAAGGCAAATAACAAGAAAGTGATAGCTTTAAATTAAAAAGTGACGATGTTTATCTAAAATGTAGCTGGATGTAGCACAGTTTTCTCTTAAGCTAGCAATATTACATCGTTGTGTCACCCCTCCCCTCCCCTTGTCGGGATCATCAATGTGTACATTTAAATCTAATTAACCGTAAGTGAACAAGCAAAAACATGTCACTTCTATATGTTTGCAATGTTTTACCTTGGTGTCTACCTTCTAATGATGTTTACCCGTGTTTTGTATTGAAAACATGCAAGGGAAAGAACTAGTTTAACATCTTTAGTATTATAATAGGAGTAGAGTCCCTTGAGCTGATCTTCTAGATCATGTTGTAGCTAACCTTATAATCTAATGCAGTTATCACCAATCCAACAACAACCAACAAAAATATGACAAATTTAGCATGCGCATTTTTTCGTTTCTTTAAAGAACTTACTTGCAGTGCCACTCGGTCATATTGTTGTTGACTGGCTCACAGAATTCGTACGCCTCACATGTAATGCATTTTGCTGCTTCTGTATTGATAATTTTTGCATGGATGTTAATTACTTAAAAAAAAAATAAGTCACATGTTTATAACTGTTTAAATGGTAATATGATCCTTCTATTTGTAAGAGAGAACAAAATCATATTGTAAAATTATTATCTCTGTTAGATCACTGTCTATATGTCTGTACAAGATCAATGTTATATAATATAATATAAACATATGTACGTATATATACAATATATACATAGGCTATACACACACACATATATATATATATATATATATATATATATATATATATATATATATATATATATATATATATATATATATATATATACGTACAATGAATACTCACGCAGTACATCCGTGACATTTTCTAACATCGACATAAACACATTATAATTTGTCTCTAAATCATTCATGTTGATCAAGGCTTTCGCCACCACCAAACGTACTTCAATGTCGAATGCAGTGTCGTATTCGAGAACAAAATAAAATATAAAAAGTTCAAATTCGACTATAGTGTAGTTACCACTAGGCCTGGTGAGGAGATAAAATAAATAAATGTATAGATAATACAAACACACACAAATATAAATACACATACAAACACGCAGAAACACACAGATATATATATATATATATATATATATATATATATATATATATATATATATATATATATATATATATATATATATATGTATATATATGTATACATGATTTTATATTTCTAACTATTATACCACATATAATTACAAATATACTGTTTTTGCGTTAATGCTTTAAGAAATATGTTTTCTTAATTGGCTATTACTAACCATACTTACCGAAGCATACTAACGGCAATATACGTAGAGTTTAAAGAGGCATATGACGTCTTGTTAATGTATTTAGCCAAGTACTTCTTCAACTGTATACATAATTAAATACTTTTTAGATAACTGAATTATAAATAAATAAATATATATATATATATATATATATATATATATATATATATATATATATATATATATATATATATATATATATATATATATATATATATATATATAGGCTTTTATATATACGTCGCTTATATTTTGGTTTCAATGTAATGTTGTTTTTTTTTTAATTTTCCTTTTTAACCTGGTAGTCTATGGGTAAATGGAGTAGAGTTCACCTGTTACTGTGATTTTGGCATATAAACATATTGCGTGGTTAGCACTATATATAGCCGCCTTTTTCGCCATACGTTAGTCAGGTATCCATCAAGGCTTATAGAACTTAGGAACCTCCTGCGGACTCGATCCTGGAATCCAAACTCGAAACTTTGGGCTCAGTAGTCGAGAGCTCAACCGATCCGACATACTGTCTCCTTATTAGTATCATTATTACACACCGTGTCAAAGTGAATGCATCATAATTTTAAATCAAGTGTTTTTAGAAACAAAGGTGATTGCTACAAAAATTATAAATGCTACTTACTGATACAGCAAAACGTCTTTTTAATATATTGTTCTCGTCTGTTCCGTTAATCGACTTATTCCCACTAACAGCAGGGGAAATCCACACTTCACCTCTTACTGTTTTTAGTAATGACACAATTGTTTACAATTATAATTAAACCGATATACACTGCGTGTGTATTTTTAAACATATGCGGTTTATAAAGATATCTTGATGTAATAATAGAAAAGAATCCTAGCGATTTATTTGGCAGATGATGAAGAGTTGATGTTTCTTGGACTTGGTTTATGAAGGTGTTGTCAGCATTTTTTCGAAATTTTTAATTTTTATGATTATTTTATTTATAACTTTGTAAACTCATTGAAATAAATATGGGGTAAGTTAGGGTCGATAAGGCAGAATGGAGTTCATCAGCCAGAGAGTGCCTAACTGACTTTCCTTATCTTGAGCTAGGTACCCGTCAGAGGTGGATTAACTTCTATACCCCAGTCTTGTTGGTTAGCATAGTGTTCTAATACACGACCATAGCGTCTCAATGATAACGCATAAAATTATTAAGTAATTTTAAGTTATAGTGTGTGCAAGACAAACAGATTTACAATTTTAAAAACTAATTAATTTATATTTAGTTAAAACACACACTTAAAAGGAATAGTTTGAACTTCTGTTTTTTTTCTGTTTAAGAAACAATTTTAAGATTTATTAACTATCAATAAATGTTCATAAATTAATTAATTAATGCAAACTCAGAATAAAAGGATTAATATTAAATAAAACCTTGACAATAGAAACAGTGGCGTAGCGACTCTTCCCGGGACAAACTTTCAATTTTCGATTTGCACCCCCTCTAACTTTCGATTTGCAACCCCCCCCCCCCATCGAACTTTCGATTTGCAACCCCCATCAAACTTTTAATTTGCACCTCCCCCCCCCCTCAAATTTTTCTCTATATATTTTTACTATTTTTAGCCTTGTGTCACCCCCTAAATGGTGTCATCCGGTGCGGTCCGCATCCCACCCCTCGCTACGCCTCTGATTAGAAACAAACATACAACCTAAGCCAATTAAACAAAGAACAAACTCGTTTGTAGTCTTTGTCAATAAACCACAGACCCCACAAAATAAGTTAATCATACATGTACCTGCTAATGCCGACGGTGAACCTCCACTGTAATCCTCAAGTGACCGTTTCACCCGTACCGTCCCACTGTTATACTTCACAAGAATATATTCATCTTCTTCCTTGTTAGCCACCATCAAATCATCGTCTTTGTCTGTCTCGTAGACATAAACGTTTCTTGATCTTGCTTTACCTCCCTTGATATTTTGATGTTTATCGGATTTGGTACGTGCTTTTGGGTTCTGTGTTGTTAACTCTTTAGCTACAGGAACAAATTGTAATTTATCTTCCCAAGGATTGCTTGGTCTAGGACAGGGGTCTCCAAACTTTTCAGTCCGAGGGCCGCATTAACTATCAAATTTCAGTTCGAGGGCCAGTTTCTTCCAGACATGTGATTTTTCTGGACAAAGTTCCTCAGCCATCACCAACAAACCTTTTTTTCCTTCGACAAAAAGAATTCCGCGGGCCGGTTGAGAGGACTTCGCGGGCCGCATCCGGCCCGCGGGCCGTAGTTTGGAGACCCCTGGTCTAGGATATGCAGTGGTTGATTGGAGCCCGCCTTTAAAGTACTCTGTTATATAGCTTTGGTCGTTGCTTGGTTTAATTGTTGTATGAGAAACATAATGTCCCTGTTTTGAGTTGTCTGCAATAATTTTTAATGTCAAATACATCAATTTAAAGCTTTTAGTATCCACACACACACACACACACATATATATGTATATATATATATATATATATATATATATATATATATATATATATATATATATATATATATATATATATATATATATATATATATATATATATATATATATACATACATTCAACTATAGAATATTTTGTAGACAATGTTTTGCTGAAAACAATTTTGTCTTCCAGACAGCAGCTACCACACGGACCCCTATACACTACTATACCTTGGAGTACGACTATAAAGTATATTAAGAGTCATTAATAAATGAATTACTAATCTTGAGTGTTAAGAAGGTATTCTACGCTAATAAAACGTAACCAACCTTTGATGTAATGTTTTAAGTCTTCATCCATTTCTGTTACTCTCTGGTTTGTTTCTGTAGTGGTTGAAGTTTTGCTGGCATGTTCTGGCTTAGCTGTTAATAAATAGATTGTAGCTTATACGTTGCCAAGAAAAAACACGGGTGCTTACAAGAGAAAACTTAAAATTAAACACGTGACTAGTTACAGCACTTTCATGCTGTCGTTTTGATAAAATGTAATCTATGTACTGAACGCGACAAATTTCCACTTGTTTTTCTAATGACACACATCATAAAATGTGTAAAAATATATTGCATACTTCGCGTTTCTAAATATTTTGAGAATGAGACCTACATTTATAATCTTGAATAGATCGTTTTTACAACATATGTTTTCATCACAGGTAATCAATTTATTTTTCTATCCTTTAAAAGCCTAACTTGGTACAAGCATTTCGATTTGATTTAAAACTACCAATTCGTACTGATGTATAGCCAAAATAAAAATCGACTCCCGAAGGTAATTTTTATCAACTTGTATGGTCATATAAACAAAAATGCTATTTGATTAAAAAAAACAGGTGTTACGTCCCTTACATGTCCCCTGCTTGTGTGTGTGTGTGTGTGTTGTGTGCTGGAACAACAGGTACCCTCCCTTTGGTGTATAGCTGTATCCCTTGGTTGAGTGTGTTTACATGGAGCGAGAGGTGTTCACGTGAGGTGTGTCAGGTGACGGGTGTCAAAGCGTGTGCTAGTGTGTGAAGCAGTTAGTTGTAGTGTGGCTGTGGACGTGGAACGTGGTGTTGAGTATTGTTATTCATGTTGTAGACCCCTTTGATCTTGTTATTATTTTAGTACTGTATATATTATTAAATATCTTATTATTATTGTTGTTATAGAGTGTTAGTGTTATCTACTGTTGTATACGTTGTATTTGTCTGTTATATATATACACACCTAGACAGAAGAACCCAACAACAGGCAATGGTTTATTTCCATTAAAAAATACCCCTCAAATACCCTTTAACTAACCTGTAATTTCTATAAATATTTCCTCGACAGTGACGTCATCTAACAACTCTGACCATAATGGCTTCCTTGTGGTTACATCTACTTTCTCTACACTTGAGGTATCGGAATTATTCCTGCTGATCCCTGCAAAAGTGATTAAATGTTATAAATCTAACAATCCTTTTATTATTTATTACCATTTAACACAGCCTCAGATGTGATATAGGTGATGGTCAACCATTGGAGTTAATTGCTGACCCTCAGAGAAAACAAAGAGCACGCTAGTGAGACACACTTTATTGTGCAGCTAAGCGTAGCCACTCGTCACACAAACCACTACCGCTTAGTCGAGGTTTAATATGATTAACGTGACATATTAGACTTATAGTTACGTATTGAGGAAATGATGACATACTAAGAGATATAATGATAGACGTGAAAATATATGATGACTAGCTTGATGTCCTATCGCTGTTCATTAGTTCTATATACTTCCATTTAAGTTTCTTGTACCGGAACATCAGGACATGACAGGTCAAAGACTCATTCACTCCAGCCCGATATCCAGGAGGCCACACGACTCCACAGAATACCGGTACAATTCGGTTGCAAGAGCAAACAACACACATGAGAACAAGCGGACCAACAAGGCCCGCAATCCAAATAGATCATGATTATGCCTCTTAGATGGTTACACCTTTCATATGTCATTGTGTTACAATAGTATAATAACCTTAAAGATTTTTATATGTTTATGTTAGGTGACTTTTAATCGAAACAAACCTTTACACACATAATAAATGCATTCTTTCCTTTATATAGAAATGTTAGCGTTATTTTTATGTCCCTATATATTAATGGATGTATGTGTGTGTATGTCAAATAGCTCTTATGCAGCAAAATGGTCGATAATAAGATTTACAATTAGGTTAATTAATACAAAGCTTTTAGGTATACATGAAGGAGCAGCAGTAATTTAAACTTCATAGGGGCATGCTGTTTTAGGATTTGTCTACATGTGCTAGCTCACAGCTTTACGTACTTAAATCAACTATAAATACACAATAATAAATGGAAAATATTACAGCGTTACGAAGGCTTACCTAAACAACTCGACTCGGTTTACCTTACTCGAGTATGTAGGTTGCCTAATAGTCCTCTTAACTCAAACGGAAGCCTGACTAAAGTTTTATGTAAATGCAATGGAAATTGATCACAATTTAGATCATACACTATTATTCTTGTGTGTCGACATAAAAAAGAAAGGTTAGCTCTACTTTGCCTGCCTAATTGAACTTCAGGGTCAAAGCCAATACTGCATTCTTTACTAGGTGAATTCAAGAAAGCACAAACGTTTTGATATTTTAATCTAAAGCTGTTTGTATTTTTTCTTTTATTGCACCCTGGCAGAACTTGATATTGTTAATGTTATTTAGAACTTAAAGGTGAAATAGGAACACAGTTATGTCCCAAGCCGCCGCGCGTAACGACATATAATACTAGAAGCACGGTATCTGGTGCATGACGATAAGAACACGGTTCCAGCACAATGGTTTTTCTCTAGGTCACCTATTTATTCTTAAAAACGTAGTTTGTGTTTGTCTTTTGCTTGGCAGGTTTCATAAAAAAAAAAGACTCAAGTTGTTTTTAAATTTTAGAATGAAACATCTCAGTTTTTAATGTTTTTCTTTTTAAATGTCAGTAATAGAAATAGTGTGTGATTAATAGTGTGATAATAAAAGTGTGAATATAAGAATCACACTTTTAAAAATGTTTATATTTTAGTGGTGCACTTTTCAAAACAAAATATCAATCTAACTTAACACAAATTTATTGTGCTATAGCCACATCGATCTCACCTGTATTGTTTAATGCGATGTCCATTGTTTCAAAGGCTGCTTGTGTAAAATTCTCATGCAGTTGCTGGTTACCAATATCTGTACTTTCATCGCTCTTGCTTTCATTCGCGTTTATAACTACATATGAAACAGTCATATTCTTATTAATTTTGATTGAATAAAAAAAAATATAAATTTAGGTACATGTGTAGGGAATCATGCTCGTAATTCAGATAGAGTCATTTGACATTGTGTTATAGCCACATCGATGATTCCAATTCTTGTGAAAAATAAATATCTCTGGAAAGGATACTGACGGAGTTTAAATTTAATACATATAAAAAAGAACAACTTTTAACTGAACCTGATTTCTCTTCTATGGTGCTCGTTGCCTCTTCTATAGATACTGACAAGTTTCCGTAGAGTGGGTGTTGGTTACCCAGTTCTGTGCTTGTGTTGCTAACACTTTTATTCAGCATAAAATCTGAAAACAAAGAATATTTAGTCTATATAAAAACATTTATGCTTCCGTGAGTAAGTGTGGTTGTGTGTGTGTGTGTCTCTGTGTGTGTGTTTGTGTGTGTGTGTGTGTTCAGTTTACCAAATACACTGTAGCAAAAGAAATGGTTTAAACTAAAGCAGTTTTTTTAAATCACCTGTAGCATTGACAGTTGATTCACCCATTTCCATGTCCCAGTCATCTTCTTCAATCGTGTCACTGATGTCTGTATGTGTTTCAATTAAGAAATCGTCTTTAAATTCTTCTACTATATCTCTCACTAGAAGATCCTTTAGCTCTTCAACATTACTTGCTGAAATATTCTTGTCGTCGAATTCATTATTATATTCTAGAAAGCAAAATGGCCAGAAACGCACATCATTGTATTTTTAAGATGTGTCGTAAAATGTATATATTAATAGCACGTTTTTATACAATTGTCATTTGAAAGTAAGACGAGAAACCAACATACACATATATGGACACTATTTCTAACAAAATACATACAAAAACAAACCAACACACACACACGCAATATATATATATATATATATATATATATATATATATATATATATATATATATATATATATACATATATATATAGGCTTATATAATATATATATATATATATATATATATATATATATATATATATATATATATATAATATGCCTATATTTGTAAATAATCCTTACCACTATTAGTTTCGTTGCTTTCCAAAGCAAATAACACTCCAAATATACATATAGGAACACTTAGAATGGCTGTAAACTTCATTTTTTTTTATATCCAGGAGAACTATTTATGCTACCAGCATCTAGTGTTGAAAAAATTAAGTTTTAACACAATATTTCAGGTCTCTACTTTCTTCAACTAAAACATATTATTTTGAATATATTAGATGTATCGTTAAATTAATATAACATACATTAGCCAACATATGTAACCCCTATAAATCTCATTATAATTTACCTTTAAATCAATAAAAATGTATACACTGCCTATTACTCCAGTGAAAGACTTTTATAAACTACTACCGCAATTACAAAACAAAAATATTTCCCACGAACCGCGCACAAATCTTGTTCAAGCGTCAACGGTAAGCACATAACAAACACCCTATTTATAAACATTGGGTTGCCCACAAGATAACTGAAGCCCAGCCAGTCGGAACTAACGTATTCAACAGTTTGTAAAGGGGAGGCAACAGGGAAGTAGATCAAGTTTTATCATAAAGGAAGCTTATGTCATTGCCGGATGTTTTTCCCACGTTTTCTTTAACTTGCTTTCGCGTCTGTTTGTTTGTTTGTTTGTTTGGTTCTCCAATCAAATCTTGCGATCGAAATTTCGGGCTTTTCCCAGTTAGCTAGCGCGCTAAAATTTTCATGGAAGCTTTGTTTCCGATGACAATAGAATATTCAATTGTTATTATTACTAAATTGATCCATGGAAACATTTTATTGATCATTTTAGATCCCTATATATTTTGTACAAAAAACGTGGGAAAAAAGGGACATAGCCTAGTAATTGTAATTTGATGAAAACAAGGTTCGGTACTCTCCCTCTTTTGGCTTACTGAGTAGTGGTCACGCGGTGTTTGTGTACAAACAACCGGAACGTAACAACTGGTGGCCAATATGGGGGAGACGATATGGTCGAGTGGTTGGGCACTCGATTGCTAACCCACTCGACACGGGTTCAAATCTATGTGTTCTAGTCAGTAACGTATTCACACAACAAAGCCATAACCCGCCCCTTGTAAAAACAACGCTTCGTGAATAACTAAAGGCACGTGTTTTTTACGAGTTGTCTTCGTTTACCCAAAAAAAAGTGAATGCGAGAAGATAAAATCGATAGCAAGATTTGAATGCAAACAAACGGACAAAGACTAACAAGTAGAAAATAATTATCATTAAAAAAGTTTTAAAAAAAACACGTTTTCTGATTGAACTAAAAAGTAGAAAATAAATTCTATACATCACAATAATGCAAGCGATCACTCTACTATAAGCGATGAAAAACGTGGGGCGTCGTGATTTTCTTACAGTTTCTAATAATGTTGACTCTCTACAAGCTCCCTAATAAAACTCAATAGTATTATCTAATCAATAGTAATATAACTTTTACATCTTATATTAACAATGACCGATACAAAACTTTTACTTCGGCGCCCCACGTTTTTCATCGCTTATATCTTTTTTAATGATAAATATTACTTGTAGTAACGTTTAGAGATTATTTTATTGCATAAAATGAAACGAAAATAATGTTTTAGCTTTTGAGACAGTAAGCGACCGGAACGAGAAGAAACTCTATTACCATAAGTGATATGAAGCATGTGACACAATAAGTAGAGGCGTAGACTATGTCAGTGCTATAAAAGTAAAGTTAAGTTTCCCTTTCAAACATGACGGTTTATGGGGCAAGTGAAGTAGAGTTCACTTGTTTCTGTGACCTCGGCATATGAAGGGGTAGTGTGGTCAGCACTATGCCTTACGAGAGTTTATTAAATAAATAAATATAAATATAGTTGGGTGGATTCGTGGACGGTCTATTGACTTGAACCCGGATCCGAACTCGAGACATAAGGGTTAGCAGTCCAGCTCTCTACCGCTAGACCACTCCGTCCACATGTCAGTGCCATAAGGGGCTGAAAAAAGCTCATTCTGAGCAGCTTAACGTAATTGTACAGTCTAAATCAGGGGTCTCCAAACTACGGCCCGCGGGCCGGATGCGGCCCGCGAAGTCCTCTCATCCGGCCCGCGGAGATCTTTTTGTCCAATGAAAAATCATTTGTTGGCGATGGCTGAGGAAGTTTGCCCAGAAAAATCAAAGACATGCCTGGAAGAAACTGGCCCCCGAACTGAAATTTGATAGTTAATACGGCCCTCGAACTGAAAAGTTTGGAGACCCATGGTCTAAATCAATGGTTTTTACCTGAATATGATATCGATCGAATCCCAGCGGTTCAGTGGGTCAATCTCAGGGATTCGCGGAGGTCAAAACACACCCTACTTATATGATTCATGATCGGATTTTGTCAATGCGGAAAATAAACTATTAAGAAGGATTCGGTGAATGCGCATATGAAACTAGTGGGGTTCGGTACCTCCAAAAGGGTTAAGAGCCACTGGTTTAAGTTAAAACAAATGGGCTGCTACATGGCTTTACAGAACGATTAAAATGTTATCAATAGTGATTGTACGACACCAAATAAAAATGTGATTGATAAAAAGCTCTCACCTCTCCAATTGGTAGAGGGATGGGAGGATGAGACTTTTTCGCTTACGTGAATAACTATATATAAAATTGATAGTTCACCCCCCTCCCCCAGGGCGCCAGAATGGGTCGCTACACCTCTCTTCTTCTTCTTCTTCTTCGTTCTTAATTATTAGTGTTGAAGGGGATCGAGATTTATCTGCCAGTGGGTTTGAACACGAGACTTTGTTCGAATTTATCGACCATGAGCTTTTTGCCGACTCGACCACGCCTCCAACACAATTAAGCGTTACGTGTCAACTGGTTATGCGCCATTGAGGCCATTGACTCCGATTTCAGCCTGCTTTTCTTTTTGGATTTGCTTCCATAGCCTTTGTCCAACCAAGAACAAACTACAAGGCAGCAGTTGTTTAATTTTGGAGTTGTCTCTCCTAGAAGAGTGGCTGTCCCCAGCTAACGAGCCTCATCTGCCCGAGGGTTCGAACTCGAGACTTCTCATGAGCTTTACCGACTCGACCACGCCGAACCCCTACACGTCTGATAAGAAATAATCATATAATCAATTGCAATAATTAATATTTCGAACATGACGTAGGAAGCGAATATATGCTAGAAGTCGTTACTCGTTATACCCGATGTGAGAATTAGTGAACAAAATTGATAGTAATATTTTCACAGAAATAAGTTTAGGCTCCTTATTTCCTTGTATTGGCATACACAATTTAACTAAATACCCGCTTCTTTTAATTAATTTAATGTTCATTAAAGTAAATAAATTGCAGTTGTTTCTTTTAATCTTACCAGCAAGATTGAAGCTTATATAAAACTGATCTTTTGGTGTTAAAAAAATTGCCTAATCGTAAATTCACTTAAGAAGTTATATAAGGGTTGGCTATAAAACAAATACGTAAGTTGATATACATGATTAGCCTAATTATAGAATTATGTACTTTTTAAGCCGATATATCTAGAGCGTTAAAATACATTCGATACGGATAGTTAGCCAAGCGTGTCTCTGTGTCACTTGATCATGTGCCAGACACCAGGAAGATATCAATTACATACATGGCATTATTTCATGTGTTTCTTCCAGACTTTTTTCTCCGGGGGGGGGGAGGCACTGGAAATTTTCGGGGGGGGGGGCGGTAGAGTTTCTTCGGTTTCTATATATAAATTCCATTTCGTTCGGGGGGGGGGGGGGGGCGGTAGAGATGAGATGCCTGGAAGAAACTCTGATTATTTCGTTGGGTATAATACAAAAATGTTTATATGTAAATAATCTAATTATCAAACTATAAACCAATGGCTTATCATATTAATGTTAATAAATATTAATAATCGAGGCACGTGAAGTATAGTTAACCTGTTACCGTGAATTCGGTATTCGAAGAGATAGTGGGCCAGCACTATGACCAGCCGCCTTTACTTTGGCTAGCGTAAGTCAGGTCCCCATTAGAGTTGGGTGGACTCAAACACGTACTATGACTTTAGCCAGGGACCCGAACTTGTGATGTTTGGGTTAGCAGTCGAACGATCTCTCATTCGACCATTCAAGCGGTTCAAGTAAGTAAAGCTTATTAAGAGCTGGTATTTTCTCGTTTGATGTGATCAGCGCATTGATGATACTAATACATATGTAGGAACTACTAAAGTATTAAAACACCAGTTTAATTTACACCATTAAATGACAACCTAACAAGCATAATTTAATATACATTTGAAAATACTAGAATAAAACTTGACTTTTTTTTAAAAATAATTTATTTTGTTGTACCTATGTACTGAGTAAAACATGTTTAAATCAGAACATTAACAAAAAAAATCAAATTAAAAGGTGTATAATTACAGCGCCTTTTGTTTATATATAAAGATTTAATAGTATAGTAGGCTATAACACATACTATGAAATATAGAATCATGTCGTTATTGGGGAAGGGTCATTAAGCTTTATAAAGGTGTACTGATTTTATAAATATAAACACACATTTTAAAGTAAATATTTCAGATATTTTCAAGAAACTAAATTAGTACTGTATTGCTATCTCTTCCAATTTAAATGTGTATATTATGTCAATACCTTAGCTAAATCTATCGATACACATGTATTTAACAAGTTTACTATAAACTACAAAAAAAACTCATTATACACATTAATAAATATTTCAGATATTTTCAAGAAAATAAATTAGTACTGTATTCCCATCACTTTTTATTTAAATTTGTATATTATTTAAATGAGTTAGCTAAATGTATCGATACACGTGTATCAGAGGCGTAGCGACCCTTCCCGGCGCCCGGGGACAAATTTTTCGATTTGTACCTCCACCCCCTCAAGATTTCAATTGGCACCCCCCCCCCCCCTCAAACTTTTGATTTGCATCCCCCCTCAAGATTTCGATTTGCACCCCCCCCCCCCTTAATTTTTTGATTTGCACCCCCCCCCCCCTCAACCTTTCAATTTATTTTTCCAACCCCCTAAGGTTGGCGCCCGGGGACATATGACCACCCCCACCCCCCCGCCCATCGCTACACTACTGACGTGTATTTATCGTGTTAACCATAAACTAAAAAAAAATTCATAAAAAACGTTTTAATAACAAGCTTTTATGTAATGATGCACTAAAAAGTAGAAAATAAATTATAGACTACTATTTAAATAACTATAAAGAAAAGCGTGGGGCACTTTAGTACTTTAGTACCTATTTTATATCTTTACTAATATTTGAGAAGAGACCCACGCTTTTCTTTATAGTTATTTAAATAGTAGTCTATAATTTATTTTCTACTTTTTAGTGCATCATTACATAAAAGCTTGTTATTAAAACGTTTTTTATGAATTTTTTTTCAGTACTTTACATGTTTTATCTACAATAGAGTTACATGACTAAAAACCATTGCGCGCCTACTGAATATCACGTTCAGTAGGCGCGCAATGGTTTTTGAACGCAGCCATTACGTGGTCGTGATGGCGCAGCTATTGATGACGCGTGTGGTGTGGTTGGCTAGACATGCCTACTAATTCGGTCCAAATTTTAATTAATTCATAAAAAATCAATTAGGCATCCAATTAAGTCAAATTTAGTTTCAGATTGCATTGTCTTCATGTCTTGACCCACGTGCCAAATGTGAATCGTGTCGGTCAAGTAGAACTGTCCGAATTTTCACTCCTGCGTTTCCGTCTAGACTGACGACAGACTGACGACAGAGGAAGTGAGTTAAATAAAAGCTTGTAATAAAATATTCCATGTCCGCCTTGCCAACACCTTTCCCCATGATACTTTATGTTCAACCTGCCGCCCTACATTTTAATGACTGGGGTTGTTATGTCATGCGTCGATGCCCAGGGAAACTTATCTCGGTCATCAAGTCTAAATTTAGCAGACTTATTGTCGACGTAGAGGTTGGAAATTTCTAAACTTATTTTTAATGGGTGTTTTTTTTTAAGCACTGATGAAAAACGGTACTATTTTATCTTACACTCAGATATGTTTGTTATTGGGGGGGGGGGGGGGGGAGAGAGAGAATGGGGGTCCGTAAATACGGAATCTTTGACTTCGACGTTTTATTCAGTTTTTTTTCTTTTAAATATCTCTCAAGTGGAACATTGACCCCCACCCTCCTCACAAGCATGTCCACCGTCTCACGGAAAACAAAAGAAAACATATAATTCAACCAGTGTCCGCCCCCTAGAAGTTTCTATTACTTCCCTTCCCCTTTCCCTTGACAAAATATCTAAAAGAAACCCAGGCTTTATTTAACTCGGTAATATTAATTTAATATACCGTAACGAAATCTTGCTCTAGAATTCTTCACCGTTTGTGAATGTATTAGTCACATTTAAATCTAGAATAACCCGATGTAACTCTTACTAAATCCTATTCTAACAGAAACCTGATTTAAACATGCTAATAAAAATGGGGGGGGGGGGGGAGTCGAATTTATTTTCTATAAGCTAATAATATTCCTTAAGATACATTTCCCTAGCAGCAACATCATATAACAAAATCGGTTTGCTGTAGTTAAATACGTTTTTTTTTTCCTTCACAGGAAGAAATAAAATATTTATATCTATTCTTTGCGCCAACCAGTCCGTCATATTTAAACTATTTTACGGATGTGCTTGAACTTTGGGCTGCTTTTTCTCCGTATCTGCGTGTTAAAGTAGAACGATTTTCCTTCCTCTCAAAGGTAATTAAAAAAACCTTTATAATAACTATCTTTAAAAGCACTCACAATAAAATAAAACGCAGTTTCTGCTTAAGATAAAAACTAGACGACCCAGTTTCCAGCTCGCAAATGGTCTATCTGCTGCACTGGACCATAATCCAATATCCCAGGTGTCCGTTCAAAAACCCGCTGGACAATAAACCCCTGGACCTAATCAATCGACTTAAACCCCCGGCGATATAAATTCCCTGGACATAAAAAAAAACAAAACAATCGAGGTTTATATAAGGAAAAACCAAAAATATGACGAGAAACAAAATTAATAATTAAAAACAAAACAAACATTAGAAAAAAACAGTGTTTTATTATAACTTTAAAAAGAGAAATTGTCGCGATGCCTCGCAAATACTCAATAATAGTGGGCTTATTAAAAATTTTAACAGCTGTTCAAATTCGTGCGTTGCTAACAATATTTTTTTTCTGTTTTGGTAACCAGTGACCTGAATTCATCTGTGTACAATAAACCTCTCGAAGCGATTTTGCCTGTTTAATAGGGTAAATCATAATAGAAATTATAAGATTTTTGGAGAAATAAATTTGATGTTATGTTTCTACCATGCTTCTGTGTGCCAAGGTGGATATGAATCAAGCTTCCGCCGGTGAATCTTTTGTTTTGTTAAAAATGCGTTGCTTTGATCCGCACGGCTCCAACAGATGGATGACCGATATCTAAGGTGTTGTCGGTGCCCGATTTTTTATCAAATACAACTAAGGTCATTTCTCGATATTCTAATAGCATGCTTTTATGTAGAAACTCTTTTGTTAGTCGTTAAAAATTACATTATTATTATTATTATTTAATTTTTTTTATTCTCACAATCTTTATTATTTCCTTATATAAACCTCAGTAGGGGGTTTATATCAAGGGGTTTATATCCAGTTTTTTTTTTAAACCGGGAGCCAATATCCCATTGCAACCACCCATTATTGTCTTTTAACCCTAAATAAATCCCTGTTCTTTGTCCCTAACTCCCGCCCAATATCTTTAGGACATTAATTTATGAGTCCATGCGGGATAAGGGGTTTTACTTAAAGTGAGAGTACCAATAAAAACGTTACATTACAGTACAAAATACAATGGCACATGGAAACCTTCAACACAACAAATAAAGGGAAAAAAGGTTTTAGTTGGAATAATATTTGCGTGTGCTTTAATTTAAAATAGCAGCGTACGTGATTATAAATGACACATACAAAGGTGAATGATATTTTAACTAGATAATTGCTTAGCATTAAATGAAGTAATGTCTTTATTGGTCAACAGAAGTGGAAGATAAAGTATAATTAATTTAATACGGTATGTATTAAATTTGAAATATAATTAATAAAAATAAACACAACGATGTTTTAGAAATTTTTCATTATAATCCAATAGAAGTAATGTTAAAAGTTATTCAATTAGACTTCAAGTATTATAAGATATTGCTACCTGAGTCATAGTTACAGTGACAGTTTTTGACAAAATTTTAAAACAAAATTTGATGCAGCATATTTTTCTGAGAAAAAAAGCCATTCTTAGTTTATTTAGAACTTTAAGGGGATTTGCTTTTGGTTACATTTTTATTACATATTTTAAATAATGTTTATTAATTTGAAACTGGTTAACAATTTTTAATATTAGCATTTAAACACACCTGAAACTAAATAATAGTGCTTAAAATATACCAGCCTATTCGATTTACCTTGGTAAGCTTCTTAGAGAGTTCGGTTATTTAAATGGATTTAGTTGTAGTTGTCATTGGTTTGGTTGTAATTGTTGGTCTGGTTGTAGCTGTAGTTGATTTAGCTGAAGTTGTTGTCCCTATAGCTTTTATTGGTGTAGTTGAAGTAGTGGTTTGTTTAGTTGTGGTTGCTGTAGTTTGAGTTGTAAGTGCTGTTGCTTTCATTGTGGTTGTTGTTGGTTTGGTTGTAGTTGTGTTTGGTTTGGCTAAATTTGTTGTCGATTTAGTTGTCATTGTAGTTGGTTTTATTGTTGCTGTAGTTGATTTCATTGTAGTTGTTGTTGGTTTGGTTTTTGTTGGTGTGGTTGTAGTTGTTGTTAGTTTAGTTATTGTTGTACTTAGTTTTTTTTGTGGTTGTAGTTGGTTTGCCTGTAGTTGTTGGTGGTTTCATTGTAGTTGTTGTTGTTTTGGTTGTAGTTGTTGTTGGTTTTGTTGTAGTTGGTATTGCTGTAACTGGTTTTGTTGTGGTTGTAGTTGGTTTGACTGTAGTTGTTGTTGCCTTCATTGTAGTTGTTTTTGGTTTGGTTGTAGTTGGTATGGTTGTAGTCTTTGTTAGTTTAGTTGTGGTTGTTGTGTTTGGTTTGGCTAAAGTTGTTGTCGATTTAGTTTTCATTGTAGTTGGTTTTATTGTTGTTGTAGTTGATTTCATTGTAGTTGTTGTTGGTTTGGTTGTAGTTGGTGGTGGTGTAGTTGTTGTTAGTTTAGTTATTGTTGTAGTTGGTTTTGTTGTTGTTGTAGTTAGTTTGACTGTAGTTGTTGGTGGTTTCATTGTAGTTATTGTTGTAGTTGGTATTGTTGTAGATGGTTTTGTTTTGGTTGTAGTTGGTTTGACTGTAGTTGTTGTTGCCTTCATTGTAGTTGTTTTTGGTTTGGTTGTAGTTGGTATGGTTGTAGTCTTTGTTAGTTTAGTTGTGGTTGTTGTGTTTGGTTTGGCTAAAGTTGTTGTCGATTTAGTTGTCATTGTAGTTGGTTTTATTGTTGTTGTAGTTGATTTCATTGTAGTTGTTGTTGGTTTGGTTGTAGTTGGTGGTGGTGTAGTTGTTGTTAGTTTAGTTATTGTTGTAGTTGGTTTTGTTGTGGTTGTAGTTGGTTTGACTGTAGTTGTTGGTGGTTTCATTGTAGTTATTGTTGTAGTTGGTATTGTTGTAGATGGTTTTGTTTTGGTTGTAGTTGGTTTGACTGTAGTTGTTGTTGGTTTTATTGTAGTTGTTGTTGGTTTTGTTGTAATTAGTATGGTTGTAGTTGTTGTTAGTTTAGTTGATGCTGTAGTTGTGGTTGGTATTGCTGTAGTTGGTTTTGTTTTGGTTGTAGTTGGTTTGACTGTAGTTGTTGTTGGCTTCATTGTAGTTGTTGTTGGTTTGGTTGTAGTTGGTATGGTTCTAGCTGTTGTTAGTTTAGCTGTAGTTGTAGTTGGAATTGTAGTAGCTGGTTTTCTTGTGGTTGTAGTTGGTTTGACTGAAGTTGTTGTTTGTTTTGTTGTAGTTGTTGTTTTGGTTGTAGTTGGTATGATTGTAGTTGTTGTTAGTTTAGTTGCAGTTGTGTTTGGTTTGGCTAAAGTTGTTGTCGATTTATTTGTCATTGTAGTTGGTTTTATTGTTGTTGCAGTTGATTTCATTGTAGTTGTTGTTGGTTTGGTTGTAGTTGGTGTGGTTGTAGATGTTGTTAGTTTAGTTATTGTTGTAGTTGGTTTTGTTATGGTTGTAGTTGGTTTGACTGTAGTTGTTGGTGGTTTCATTGTAGTTGTTGTTGTAGTTGGTATTGTTGAAGATGGTTTTGTTGTAGTTGTTCTTGGTTTTGTTGTAGTTGTTGTTGGTTTTGTTGTAGTTGGTTTGGTTGGAGTTGTTAGTTTAGTTGCTGTTGTAGTTGGTATTGCTGTTGATGGTTTTGTTGTGGTTATAGTTGATTTGACTGTAGTTGTTGTTGGTTTAGTTATAGATGTTGTTTTGGATGTAGTTGGTATGGTTGTAGTTGTTGTTAGTTTACTTGTTATTGTAGTTGTAGTTGGTACTGTTGTAGATGGTTTTTTAGTTGTGATTTTACTTGGTTTGAATGTAGTTGTTGTTGGTTTTATTGTAGATGTTGTTAGTTTAGTTGCTGTTGTAGTTGGTATTGTTGTAGTTGGTTTTGTTGTGGTTGTAGTTGGTTTGACTGCAGTTGTTGTTGGTTTCATTGTAGTTGTTGTTGCTTTCATTGTAGTTGGTATGGTCGTAGTTGTTGTTAGTTTAGTTGCTATTGTAGTTGGTATTGTTGTAGATGATTTTGTTGTGGTTGTAGTTGGTTTGACTGTAGTTGTTGTCTGCATTGTTGCCGTTGTCTTGCCTTTAATACTGTGGTTGACAAAAAAAAGTAACTTAGTGAGAAAGCAATAATAATATTTATACTATTAGCATGTAAAAAAACTAGTCAACAAAGAAGCACTTAAAGTGTAATATATATATATATATATATATATATATATATATATATATATATATATATATATATATATATATATATATATATATATGTATGTATATATGTATGTAAAGTAGATTATTATCTGAAAAAAGGTCGTTTTAGTTTAGTCAATTTTAGTTAGTCAATTTCATATCATGCATTAACCTACCGTTGGCATATGCTGCAGCATTTTGGCTGTTTTTAGCATACATGGCTTAGTGTCAGATTTATTGTTGATAGCTATTTTGATAAGTTTTATCAGTGACGTTTTTTGAGACTATTTAACACAGGCATATTGTCACGGTTGGTGCTGTCTTTTAGGTCAGTTAAGTCCAAGCTAATTTTAATTCACTACCTGAAATCTAGTACTGGATTTTGATGAAACAAATTTACATTTTTTTAAAAATAATTTAAATTCAATAAATAATGTAATAGACAATACTCACATTAGGCATTCCACATACTCTTGATAGTTTTTAATGTAATTGATACAATCATTCCTTGATGTATTTGTCGTTGCTGTTATGGTTTAATTTATAAAACAAAAGGTGTTAAAATTTGTTTATGATTAGTATTGTTCACAATAGTTACTAACTGATTATTTTGGACTTGTTCAATCATTTGTATCTGCATGTTTGTGTCTGCACATTAACTAAATGTTATTTTGTTAATAGATATGTTAAGAAAATGTTTTGCTAGTAGTAACATAAAGGTGTTGATAAAATACTTAAAGCCCTCATTTAAATATGCTAAATTCATACATATATATATATATATATATATATATATATATATATATATATATATATATATATATATATATATATATATATATATATATATATATATATATATATATATATATATATATATATATATATATATATATATATATATATATATATATATAACTGAAATAATTGAAAAATGACAGATAAAAAAAGAGACTAGCTCACCAATGCATTCAAAATTATTAGTGCTAAATATAAAGCCAATGTTACAAAAACACTGGGCTGTTCCATTAATAACTGTACATCCATGGCTGCAGCTTAAATTAGAATTGATGCATGGATCCACTGCTAAAAAATATAAAATATATATTTGTCAAAAAATAGATCATATAGTGAGTAAATTTCTAGTCTTAAATGTAATGATCAAAGATTTGAATAATATTTTGACCTAAATTCTAAATATTTCAGATTCATTGACTATTAGTCTCTAGTTTGATTTATAAAAATTGTCAAATTAAACAATAATAATTAATGACTAGATTGACTTTAGTTTTATCCTAAAATTGTAAACCTTTCTATTCAGTAACTTTAATATAGATGCATAATGTGAGACATAATTGGTACTATACTATATAATTAATAATTATTATATTTTTAAAAAATACATTATTAAGAATATTAAATTTAATTTTATCAAAACTATTTTTTATGTTATTTTAATTACAGTGGTACCTCAATATACTGTAAAACTGATTATATACAATGTAAATGCACTTTTTAAAACAATTTTATTTCTTTGCATTTTCTTTAATTATGATTTTTTTTTAATTGATCATTTATAAACACAATTTTAAAATAAAAAAAAACACTTTAAAACAACTTGCATAAGGGGGGAAGGGGGGAGGGGGTAATAGATTCATAAAATTTCAATTAATTATAATAGACAAAACAGCGCTTATCTTTGAGTTAATTGACATATGAGCAAGGTTAAGAAATGAATTCCTATCTCAAAGTATCACTGTATTTATAAATTGAATTTTTAAAATTACCATCTTTTTCACATGTCTTTCTGTCATCCTTTAATCTATAACCAGGATAACAACCACAGTAGCTACTCCCTGGAACATTCAAACAGATCTGCTCACAGCCAGATTGGCCATTATCACATTCGTTGATATCTGCAGGCATAAAATAAATACAACATTTATGTATTCATGAAATTTATTTTTTCGATTTGATGTATCAAAAATTTAGGACAATGTTTAAGCTAAATTTATAATATTCGAACTTAACACTTTACTTATATTTAACAATAAAGTCTGCATTGTTTTTAGATATTACCATTACATGTCCCATTTGATAGCTTGGTAAAACCATTAAAGCAATCACAAATGTAGTAGCCTGGCATATCAATGCAGTTTTGTGAACACTTGTTTAGTAATATGTTGTTGCATTCATTCACGTCTGAAAAAACAATTAAGCTATAGGTCTATACAAAAACTTAAGAATAAATCATAAAATGTTCATAAAATAATGTATAAGATAAAAATTAGAAATAAGCATTAATAAATTTTAAAGTAAATAATTGTCAATTATTCCTCATAAGAAATGACATCTTGTCAATTGGATTAATATATGTATTTGCTTTAATATGTTAAATTGAAATAATTATATAACAAATTGAATTGACAGAAAATATGACAAAAACAGATAATTATTAACCTTTTAAATTTGTAAAACTTGTCAATGCTTTTGGTATTTAATGGTAACCGAAAATTGTATTTCATAATTTTAAAAATTTAAAAATCAATGATAATATTAAAATTAACTACCAAAATTATAATGAATTGTTTTGTGAAACACCCTCCCACCTTAGAAAATAGCACATTAAGCTAAGCTTAAAAGTCTAAATAAGCAAATTCTCAGTTATTGCAATTACACATAATAGACCTGCATTGTAAAATATTCAGCTAATGTTTACTGTCAGTCCATATTCGTATGATAAATATAATCTAAAAAAAACGGCCAATTCGCTTATATCTAACTTAGAAAATAATTCTTACCAATAAAAATCCATTAGATTTGGCAATTATCCTATTACAGACATGTATAGTAAAATATTCATTAAATATTTATTGCAGTACGAGTGTTTTGTTTAAAAACATGCACTAAAAATCAGGCTAAAATTGTACATTTAATTAACTTAGCAAATATATCTTACTGATGCAAGTCCCATTGATATCTTCAAATCCTGTAGGACAGTCACATGTGTAGGATCCCTGGGTGTTTGTACAGTAGTGATCAGCTGGACAAATGTCTGGAGTTTCTACACACTCATTAACTTCAATGTCACAGTTTGTTCCCTTCCAATTGTCTTGGCAGATACAGCCCTTGATACTGTCACATCGTACAGCATGGCCCTTACATTCACATTGTGAGGCACAGTTTAACCCATACATATTATCAGGGCAGGCTATTAGAAAAACAAATAAAACAAATGTAACTTTAGGACATGCACTGTTGTGAGTGTTAAGATTCTGGAGCCTAGTTAAGTTCAAGCTATGAAAATACTGAAGAAATAGAATTGGTAAAAAGATATTCATAAAACAATTTGTTTAGCTTTTTTTTCTAAACAGAAATTATATTGTGCAATATATTTAAAATCCTTTATTGAAATGTAATTTAAATTCATGTTATTGTTTGTATTTATTTAAAAACTAGTGAAAAATAAAATTTACTAATATTTTTTCCAGAGATTCTAGTAGTAGGCCTACTAATTGTGAATGTTTTTAAACTTACAATCACACTTGTGAGCATCTTTGCTGTTTATCTTGTAACCAAGTTGACAACTACAGGTAAAGCTTCCAACACTGTTACTACAGTTATGTGCACAAATATTTTCCTTGCATTCATCAACATCTGAAGAAACAAAAATCTTTGCATTATTTTTTAATAAACAAAAAAATTAATATACTAAATGTTATTAGTAGATTTTGAGAAGTATAAATAACAAAACTACACCTAGTTTTGACTATTTTTGTCTTCCTTGCCTCCACAACTCTTGGCTTCAATTTCCCCTAGTATTCTAACTAGATCAACCCTCCCCATCATTCACGCAAGTTCAATTATATGTACATAAATTAAAGCTAATATGTATTCACTAACTGCCTATCCTTAAAACCGACTTACTTAAAACTACTTGTAATATAAATGACCATTAACAAATTAACTCTTTACAAATGTTTAAAATGACATAACAGTTAATAAATTGAATTTCGCTTTCTTTGAAAGTTGATTTATTTAACAGGTAGTAAAAAACAAACAAAAAAAACAATAAAAAAACATAAAATCTGACTATATTACTGTTTAACTAATTTTAATTACCTTCACAGTGGATGCCATCTTGTGTAAGATTATATCCGCGTTTGCAAAAACAGCCTTGAGTGCCATTGCAGCCATGCTCACATGTTTTATTTAGTGATTTACACTGATTTGTATCTTTAAAATATAATTAATTGAAGATATAAAATGTAACCATTCACATTTGTTTTTATTATTTTTATCAGTGAATAATACCAAACTTTAGAATGAAATGAATTATCAAAATATTCTCACCTGTTTTTATGACAACACATGTATTATTTGCACGTTTATAACCAGAAAAACATGGACAATTAAATTTCCCTGGCATGTTGATACATATTTGATCACAGTTATCTAACTTGTTAGCACACTCATCAATGTCTAGAAGTAAACAACACTGTACAATGCATATAATAGCAAGAATAAATTATTATATCGAATCCTGAATTAAAATGTAGAGAATATTATTTAATTTTAGATGTGAATTGTTCATAGGTTAATACTAACATTTTTACACTAAATATTGACATAGATAATTATGTTTCCCTATTATGTACTTATACATAATTGATAGATGCTCTTTGTAAATAATACATTTGTAGTGTGTTCTTTTTGCAATACAGCTATTTCATGCCTAAATAGAATAAAGGAAAAAAGAAAAGGAATTAGAAAATATAAAACTACTTACCTACACAAGTGTTGTTTATATTTTGGTAACCTCTAGGACAGTGGCATACAAAGCTACCAAATGTATTTTCACAGTCAGCAAAAGAATCACATGGTGATGTTTGACATTCATCTAAGTCTGTTGATATAATACTTTTTTCAGACTTAATAAATATTAAATTTAACAATTATTTTAAAAATGCTATACAATTGTAATTGTAATTGTAATAGAACTTTTATATTTTACATTACATGTTTATTCTAAATAATTTCAACTTCAATTTTATTGCTATTTTATTTATTTTATAAAATTGGTTATCAAGCTTGAAAAAGAGAAAAGAGGCATTCTTTCAAGTAATCTTTGCAGTTTATTATTGTCTAGTCATTAAAATGTCCAGATTTTTAGAAGTGTTACCTATTCAAACACTTTATTGCATTTGTAAATATAAAATGAAAAGTTACTATTTGTAATTAGTATTGTTCACCCTGATTTCTATTATATTACATCTAATACTAATAATGTACTTCTATAATTGATAAACAAAACAATATATAAGAAAACATACCCTCACACTTGGTTTTAGCAATGCTAAGATTAAATCCAACAGGGCATTTTACACAGTTATAAAATATTCCATTTTCCTGTTCTAAATTATTTGTAATATTTACACATCCTAATGGGCAAGAATTCAAAGCACAGCCATCACTAACTTCTGCACATTCAGCTCCTATTGAAAGTTAATATTATTTAAGAAAAATCTCTCTAGTCTTAAACTTCAATTTTTAAAAGTAAATGGCTTTTACATTATTACATATTGAATAGTTATTTTTAAAGATAGAAAATGTAAAAATTGTTTTGAATTGAATTGAAAAAAGAATAGTATCAAATATCAACATGCCTCTATGACCAGAGTTACAGTTGCAGGTTGCATATGAGAAATAAGGAGATGTGGTAGGTCTGGTAACAGAAAAGTTACATGATCCTTGATTACTGCAACCAGTACAGAGAGTAAGAGACAATGGGATAACTTCTGACTGCAGGTTTTTATCATCAACAGCTGTTATTCTGTGGTATAAAATTGAATATATTTTATTACCAATTTTTTAAAAATGTTGTGTTATCATACTGCAATAATTTAAATTGAAAATATTTAATATTTATGTTATAACAAGGAAACAATTCGTAAGAAAAATGACGTAAAAGTGTTTTTTTTTTTTTTAAATTTATTAAAAGATCACCCTATGAAATTTTTTTTATTGAAATTCATTTTCAAAAATATTGCAAGTGGATATTTTTTTCAATATGTTAATAGGTTCAAATTAAGAAAACTCACATACCCTATTGTTACTGGAATAAGATCTGTAACTATAAATCTAAAGCTGGATGTTGCATTATGTATTGCAGTGCTTTGCTCATGTTGTGTTTCAGTATAATTTACATTTGCTAACACTATAAAGTGTGTTATGTTCCCATCAATATCAAAGCCACTGGCATTAAGGTAAAAAGGTTTATTTCTATATACTTCAAAATATGTTTGGTTTAATTTAATAAGTGGTCCTTGATTTGCTGTAAACAAAAAATATTAAAATTAAATATAAGTGTAATTTCGTAAAACAATAGAGAAATATTTATTTTATTAGAGATAAAACCACAAAAAAAACAAATATCTAAATAGAAGCAATCTTAGTGTTCTTATTGTAATATAACATGAAAAACTATGAAAAACAATATATTTACCCATATTGATGGAGTCCATTATAAACTGATCAGCTACTGTTAATGAATGTTTTGCTAAACTTTCATTTAAAGTTGCAATGTAATCGTATATACATGGTATTTTAAATGTTCCATTACATAGTGTGTTGAAATAATTTGTTATTGTCTTATCTAGGTCCTCATAAAATAAAGGATTGTTATTTGGATAAGAAAAAGTTGATGTGTTTTGTCCATAGGCATACTGGAATAAACTTTCTGATTGGGTTATTGCCCCTGAAAAAGAAATCATTTAATAATCTGAATTTCATATATATATATATATATATATATATATATATATATATATATATATATATATATATATATATATATATATATATATATATATATATATATTTGTGTGTGTGCATAGATATAGTAGCCATTAAACATAACTGTCAAATAAAAAAGATATTTATTATAGTGATAAATATCAGTATTTATTTTGAAAAGCATCTCACAACTTTGGACAAATTGAAAAATTTGTCTCTCGGATGACTCATCAGAGAGCTTTGAACCATTTTGAAAGAAAAATTCATCTGTTTTAATTCCATTAAAATTGCCCAAAAGTCCTTTTGTCATATTCTGGTATTTTTTATCCAAGCTTACAGAAAGTTCAAGAAAACCATATATGTGTGAAACTGTAGCTCCAACACCTGATAAGAATAATAACAATGTATCAATGTTTAATTTTGCAAATCACAAACTTAAGTGTGTGTTACATGTTTTGTTTAATACAATAAAAATATGTTCTTGTACATGTTATATATATATATATATATATATATATATATATATATATATATATATATATATATATATATATATATATTTATATATATATATATATATATATATATTTATATATATATATATATATATATATACATATATATATATATATATATATATATATATATATATATATATATATATATATATATATATAGGCCTATATATTTATTAATTTATTTTATATTTATTTATCTATTTACAAGGGGGTCCATGCAGGTGTTTAGTTACTAAAACGTACTTTCTCCAAAAGAAACTGTTAACGACCCATTTTGTTTTCTAATCACCATTCCATTTTCCATAGCAAAGAACTCATGTTCATTTTGAAATTGTGCTGAGTAATCTCGATTGTTTCCATATATAATCATCACTGAAATAAATAGTTATAGTTATTTATTTTGAAGATTCTACATAAAAGAATTTTACTATTTATTCGACTCAATATGATTTTTAATAGAATTTTTTTTAAGTTGTCACTTGCATAAAACTTTGAGGTTTTTCTTTAACAGAAATCCTGAATGAGTAAGCCAGCTTTCAAAGTATTTAAACTTTTTAGTACCATTAAAAATTTTTTTTTAAAATTCATAATTTTAAAATTAGAATAAAGAACTAAATTATTATGTCTTTAAAAAATGGAAATGTTGTTTGCAAAAAACACATACTTTCACGGCTAGGACTAACTTCTACTGATAATGTGTTTTCATCTCCATTTTTAAATACAAAACCACACCAAACTGCAGCTCTTGTTTTTGTTCCATTGCTGTTGAATGCAGCACAGGTTCGACCCTGTTATTTTAAAAGTTAAAAAAAAATAAATAAAAAGAAGAAGGTTGCAGGCTTTATTATTCAACATTTAATACAAGATTTTTAAGTTAGCATTATAAAATTGCAAAGACTGTTGGATTACCTGCATTATAAAATTGATTTCAGCTTTGTCAATTGCTATGCCATTCACCTCCAATATTTTATATTCTCCAAGACCATTAAATATATAAAATCGCTCATCAAAAGTAATAATGTGTGGATCGCCAAACAAAAATGCTTGAAGAAGAATTTTTTAATATTGTTTAAAACATCCAGCAATAGAGTAAAAATTTAATAAGGAATTATTAATAGATTTTAGCTAGATTATTATTCATGAAAAATTTCTATTTAGAATTCATAGTCTATTTTTTTAAAGTAATGATGATATATTAAAGGCCTTACCTCTAGACCAACTGCTTGCAATACATTGCACATTTGGTCTTAACACATAGTAGAGTTCGCACAAATTTGACAGATAACAGCACCAGTTTTTTGGTTCAATGTCATTTATGTGATGATCTTTAGAATTGTGTATTAGAGAATTGAAAGCATTGTAGCGTTGAAGGCTGCCAGCTTGCGGCCTTCTGGTTTCAAGACTGAAACTCCCATCTGTCCGGTAACAGCATCGCTAAAAAAAGGTCATATGATTTGAAATTATGCCCATTAATGTAATTTTTACCTTTTTTGTTATATTATATTATAATTTTTTTAAATAAACTATTGGAATACATTCTCTTTCATGCTCTCCTCTTTCAATAAATAAGCTATATATGGCTTGCTATATTTTTATGAGTACTGATACACATACACCTTACATGAAGATGTTAGTGTGTATAAGTTATGTCAATAAATAATAAAATACTTAAAAAAAACTTTTTAAAAAACCACGTTTTTCTTGTGGACTAAAAAGTAGAAAATAACTATTTACATACATTTGATGACAAAAAACGTGGGTACGTTCACCATCAAATTTCCCGACCCATCTGCCCGACCCACGTTTTTTTGTCATCAAATGTATGTAAATAGTTATTTTCTACTTTTTAGTCCACAAGAAAAACGTGGTTTTTTAAAAAGTTTTTTTTAAGTATTTTATTTTCTCCTTTTTAGTCCGTTGCTACACATGAAAAACGTGGTTTTTAAAAAAGTTTTTTATATAGTTTATTTTCTACTTTATCTAATGACTTGATTAAGTATGACTTGACTAAGTGTTTATAAATACACGGACTAAAAATCTTGAGCGACCAGGATTCGAACCTGGGTTGTCGCGGCCACAACGCGAAGTACTAACCACTATACGATCACGGCCAGCGCGCTCACATCGATTGGGGCCGAAGTAACTGTGTCAATAGGCCTCCAGTCTTGTCGGTATCTTTAGAAATCATGTCCTCAATTTTATGGTCCTTAGGGCGTAATTAAATTAAGCTAATTACGGTCTCTAATTGCTAGTTTTTATGATTGCATCTGAAATTGTTAGGCGAAAGTAGCCTGCATGCCAAATTTCAGATCTATAGAGCAATCAGAAGTGGGCTAATTTTCGATGTCAATTTTAACAACAAACACACGCGAAGCTGAGTTAATAAAAACGTGTTAAAAACAAACAGAAACTATACTATAAAAGCAATGCTTACTCTTCCATATTCACTATAGTATGGTAATAAATCAAAACAGTGACTTTCATTCTGGATAAGACTGTATGACACCCAAAGAGGGCTATTTATAGCCACCAATTCATTACAAGGACAAGCTGGCATTTCTGTGTTTTTTCTTTCAATTGCTACAAAATGCAGAAAAATGATGTCAATATCAAATTTAAAAATACATTATATTTTATTCAAGTTGCATCAAGGTGGTGAGGTATGGAAAAAGAACTTCTTTATTAATAAAGCTTTATTTATTTATATGTGTATACCTATGTGTATCTATGTTAGGGTACTTAAAGGAAAATATTTGCATTCATAAGACTCTTCAGAAAGCATTACTGCAATTGCAGTTGCAGCCATCTTGTAAAAAAACCTGCTTGGAAGTCTCAAGGTATAAAAATACTGTCATATACATTGATCATATAATCATTGATCTTTGTTTCACTAACTAAAATAGAGTAAGCTGGCTAGTTATTAAACAAGAAACTCTAGAAATTGTTTTTTCTGAGTTTTTAAAATGTGCTATGGTAAAATACCATTTAAATTTAAGCTATAATTATTTACTGGTATTTCAGTATACAAAATTTTGAAAATAAAAAAAAAATTCTAATGACACTTACCAAAATATTCAGCAATCGGACTAGTTTGGTACCATGATCTACACATCATTTTATAGTTTACTTTTTCACCAACTTTAAAAAACCATTGACCAGGTGATCCTATCAATTGAAAGATGTTTAAATATTGAAATTTTGAATGTATGCACATATTTTATTCATTGGTTAATCTTATAGATAGTAAATAAACAAAATAAAACGAGGTGGCCCAGGTTTCTTAAAGGAATACAATGTAATAATAATCATTACCATAACATTTTTCAATATAGGCCTACTTAATTTTACTTTTAAGAATATACAAATACATAATTTTATAGGTTACATTGCTTGATGATTTTTAATTGTTAACAAAGTTGTTGGTAAACTGAGTTATGCAAAACTCAAAGTAGCAAAGCAGTGGTGCTGTTCTTTTTTGAGCCTGCAATGTGATAAACTGCAAAATAGTAACTTATCTAAGCGAGGGTTTTTAACATTTTGCGGTTCGCATTTTATCAACACTTTAATAATAATTCATAAACTTGGAACATTTATTTTAACCTGCCTGTATTTCCCAGAACTTGGTCGAACATATAATACGCTGATCTGGATGTGTCAAGGTTGTATTTGCCCCAACCAATCTCAACACTCCTTGCTGACAATGGTTTGAATTGCATAGCTGCTTGCATGTACAGATACATCGCATAAGTTGTGTAGCCATCGGTTATAATGATGCACTGGAATGACACACGCTGAAAAAAACATTATTAATTGCATTAGGCATTGTATAATATTGTTATTGTTATTTACTATGTTTGACATAGGGGCGATACACTTATTGCATGCCTGTAGTACATAAATATTATATGCTGTTTCCACAACTCACCACAAATTGTTTTCATTACCTCGTTTGAATTGTTTCCAGGGGCAGGTACGTTAACCCATGTGATTACAATAACTGTAGTTGCATTGTAGGATGAGGCGTTAACCAAATATCTAACGACGTCAATGTTCGCTTGTTCACATACTTTAGAGAAGGATGTTTCCAGACAACATTTATAAACCTTAATGGAATTATTTGAAAGTAATTTTTAACATCACACATTAACTGCTGTGTTTTTCAAAACGAATAGTTGTATAAAAAAATTGATGTAGAATCTGATATTTTTTTTAAATTATGCACGCTAAATGTTTTTTTTTTAAATAATACTTTTACAAATAAATGTACCCGAATCTTTAATGAAAATTTCACTAAATCACTATATTTATTTAGTTAAAATAAATATCATAAAAAATGCTATTTCTTTCATTTAATTGATTAAAAAAATAACATTTACCACCTTTAACTTCCGTTGCTATATTACGTGTCAGTATCACTTTGCTTTATTTATATAGAAATATGTAAAGGTGCACATTTTTAGAAATGACCCCTACACCTCACTATTGAAACATTTTCACATCTGACACAATGCTGTTATTTACGAAACCCCAATGATATATTTGATATAATTATAGTGTTATCCTTTTCACAAATATAGGGGCCTCAATGAGAAACATGAAATTGTAGTCACTTTATCACTTTACCTATGTATATATTGATCTACAATTCAAAACGTTACTTAAATACTACTTTTGTACTGATTAGACCACTATTTTTTTATACTGGCTATTACAATATGAATCATTTTTTAAAATCCATTATAATATTTGTAGATATTAAAAGAACACACGCGTATTTTGATTATTTCCATTTTTTACTATATAGGTAATAAAAAGTTTTGAAAAAAGTGCCAAATACAATCAGTGTTTCTTCCAGACTTTTTTCTCCGGGGGGGGGGGGGCAGTTTTAAAAGTATATATTTTCTATAGAAATTATATAAATTTCATTTCGTTCGGGGGGTGGCGGTAGAATTTTTTCGGGGGGGGGGGGGGGCCGAAGAGATGCCTGGAAGAAACTCTGAATACAATCATACAATCTGTTGCAAAAAGTTAGAAGCTTCTGTTGGCACGACAGTGTTCAGTTTTCTAACAAATTATTTTTATTCACAAATCTCCTGCCCTACGATTGCAAAATTAATAATAGGCAAATCAAACATAATGCATGTAAACTCAAAGAAAACATACATGATAATAAACCTGTCCCTCATCGCCATCTGTGAGCTCAAGGTCTGTCCAGTACGGAGCCAACAGAGGTCGAGGATTTCCTTTTTTATCTAACACAGGCAGTCGTTGGGGCGTGAAGCTGGAAAACTCATCTCCAAAACTTATCAATCCATTCACGGTAATCTGTAAGTTACGTGATTGTGTAAATATTTAGCAAAGCAAACACAGCAAAAAATACTTTTAAAAACATTTTATTCAAAGCTTTGTAGAAACTTACCCATAAGTATAGATATAATGTATTTTCAAATGGTATAAAATCTTCAATGTAAATCTTTACTGTGGCGAATTCCTTGTTCTTAGGTAATGTTCCATCCATTGACAAAACTCCATACGGATACGTACCTACAAAAAAAAAAGAAATCAACTCACCATCATATAATGAGATAGAAAAGGTTATTTACAGTAGACAATAAACCCTATGAAATGGTTGTTGTAACAATGATTTTTTTATGGCAACCCAATTTTATGAAAATGTACTATACTCATTTGTGATAGCGCATGAATATTAAAATATTTTTTTAGACATTCTGTAGCGAACTAATTTAAAATGTACTAATGCGTAATACATTATAAGCTCTATTGTGAAATATTTTACAATAGCCATGCTCATGTGTAATATTGTACTTTCATTTGTCATAGTGATCAGCTTGTAATGTTGCTGATACGTTCAGAGAGTGTGTCAGTGGTGTTTATTTTTAACAATTTAAAACCGATGAACGTATTTAAAACCAAAAGATTATTTAAATATGAATTTAAAAACACATAATTATAATTATAGTAATAAAAAGAACACACAATTTCTTGAATTATTTAACCAACACAATTGCTATTTAGTAAGCTAACTAATAAACATAGAATTGACCAAGCAGAAAACATGAAAAATTTTGTAAAAAACGGTGTTTCTTTTTAAAGAAATCAATATCAATTGATGACTGTAAGTAAACCATTTAAATTAAAGTGGTTATTTTAACTAACATTACCAAAAGTCAAACACGGATTCTTAATGATCCAGAACACCAAATGCAAAATGTATCAAAATGTCATTATACAAGTTTATAATCGCTAAATAATAGGGGATAAATTTACATTTATTAGCAGAACTTACGTGATTCCATTGGCCTGCAAAGAAATTTAAAAAAAAATACAGCAATAACATTAAATAAATATAGACGTATTAACACTTAATTTCTATTTTTCAAACATTATTCCACGTAATTTGCAGAGGAAACAAAAGCGGTAATTTTTGAGCGAGTTCCAATTACCGGGAGGGATACAGTATTCTATATTCATTTCTTAAAAAATTGAAACTAGAGTATCGTTTCCATTAGGTGGATGAAATTTTATTTAAATGTATTAAATACAAAGTTGGGTTTATATTAATTTTTAGCTATTTATTATAGCCGGAAGTGGTACTTTACAGTATTTCCTGTTTCTCAAAAACTATCAAATTCCAAAATAAGGTATGATAAAATGTACGATAAAAAGTCGTTTCTTCCTGTTAAAGACAAAAAAAAAACTTACTTGCATTGCCACTCATATAGATAGCTGTTTATTTGTTCACAGATTTCATAGCTCTTACATGTGATACATATGGCTGCTTCTGCATATATAGTATGTGGATTAAGGTTATTTTTTTAAAATGAATTGGGTGATATGTCATTATGTTATTAAAGCATTTACATAATTATAAAAGTAATGTATTCTACCTAGCATAAAAAAAATTATAATGCAAAAAATATTTGAGTTAGGATAATAATCACGGCAACCTGCGGCTCGCGAGCCACATGCCGCCCCTTTTGATGTCAAGATGCGGCTCTTCAGCTTCATGCAAAAATATTAATGAATATTTTATTTTCAAAACTCATAAAAATATTTTTCTGCAACACACGGTAATGATAGATACTATAATAAACATAAAAAATAAACACTCGCTATTCTAGTAGAATATTTAGTGACTCCCTATTTCAATGTCCTCACTGTTTTCTAAAACTGAGTTTTTAAAATGTAATCATTACATCAGGGCACGGGTTTACCCACACTACCACCCAGCATGCTACGGGGCGTACTGTATGAAAGCCTTGAGTGTAAGTTATTCACACACTGTACTATCACCGTTAATCACTCACCGCCTAAGTGTCAGGGACGGAAAGTGGCGCTCTCCTGAACCCTTTTACACTATCCCAGGGGCGCCGCGTACGACCCCTAGCTCGGTTTAATTATTGAATGTCGTGTGCCGCATTATCAATATTGCAGTGTGCTCCTTAAAACTAACGTAGGCGAATAGTTCGCGGGGGCGTCAAATTGCACCCTGCAGTGACTACAGAGAACAAACCTGATTCAATTTAGGGAACGACTTTAGCAACCCATTTTATCCATAGCCTATCCTGCTGTTTAAAATGAACGTAGGCGCCATGGTGCTCATGGGTCAGCCCGGTACGCCAAATCACCCCCTGTCGGGGCGCCAGAGGGCGCGCTTGGTTTAATTAATTCAATGATTATTGTTGCCCACTATGTCTTTACTGTATAGACTTTTTTAAACAAACGTACGCGCCATAGTGCTCGCATGGGAGCCAGGGGCGCTTCTGGTCGCGCCGGCGGTTGCGCATGTTGCAGTTTTACCGCCGAATATAATGGAACCACTTACTCGCTATGCATGACGCCCGATAAGGATGACAAGTGCTAGCATAGCCGTTCTGGAATTCTGGGCGCCAAACCGTGCATTGACGAACACCGCACCCTCCCGGGCGCCGCCAATAAGAAATCTTTTTTAGCAGAAAAATTCTAGGCAGTATTCTCAAGTACTCTCTCCGGAGTTTCATGGTACTCGGATGGACGGCGTCGAACCTCACCCGACTTTTACTTTTTATATACCGTACAAAAATCGCACCCTCCCGGGTTGCCGCCCTTACGAAATTATAAAAAAAAAATATTTCTTTTACAGAAACCTCCCCTGGAGTTTTCTAATCTACTCCCCAAATTGTGATGGCTATCGGATGAACGGTGTCAATCCGCAATCCACTTTTATTTTTATAAACTGTATATAAAGGACAATCGAATCACGTTCAAAAGGCTCGAGTTCAAACCCTCTGGCAGATAAGGCTCGATCCCTCTCTCAACACTAAAAAATTAAGAACGAAGAAGAAGAAGAAGATTCACGTTCTACTGAAGTGCCACCCCTGAGAATTTGACTTTTTCGTTCGAAGATAGCTCCCCAGAAGTATTCTTCACAACTTCCAATGGTTTCATGGCAATCGGATAAAAGGTGTAATAAAGAATAAAAGGCAACCAGACACACACATACAATGCTTTATATATATATATGTATATATATATATATATATATATATATATATATATATATATATATATATATATATATATATATATATATATATATATATATATATATATATGACTCTTTTAAAAACTGGGAAATTTTATAAGTTGTAACCTTTGGCTCTTCTGTCTCAAAAGGTTGCCGACCCCTGAACTAGACCTACACTCTCCTACTTTCTTTCTTTCTATACACAATAACTGT